GTGTAATTTCCACTGTATTTGAGTAAACCCAAATATACAGAGTAAAAGCACCTTCACACAATTCCAGCTGCAGGAGGAGTCAATAGAGAGAAGGTGGCTGAGGGGAGCCATTTGGAACAGGGTGGGTTTTACCTACGTGGCCATCAGAGACCTTCTCTTTGTCCTAGCTGGTGTCTGTGTGCCCTGTGTCCCTCTGTGGTGAGAGACTAAGGGGAGACTTCATTGCAGTCACAACTTCCTCGTGAGGGGCAGGCACTGATCTCTGCTCTATGGGGATCAGGGACAGGACCCCAGGGAATGGCCTGGAGTTGTGTCATGGCAGGTTTAGGTTGGATCTCAGAAAAAGGTTCTTCCCCCAGAGGGTGGTTGGGCACTGAACAGGCTCCCCAGGGCAGTGGTCACAGCACCAAGGCTGCCAGAGCTCAGGGAGTGTTTGGATGATCCTCTGGGACACCTGGGGTGACCTTGGTCCTGTGCAGGGCTGAGGGTTGGACTGGATGATCCTTGTAGGTCCCTTCCAACTCAGCAGATTCTGTGACTCTGTGATGCTGTGAAGTTCTTGCAGTGTACCCCTCAGAAGGTCTGTAAAGTCAGCAAGCGGAGAGCCCTAAACCAGTGATCGGTTCCGTGGGGTACAACAGGTCACCTTGTTCTGCCCTTTCCCTTGAGCCATGAAAAATTCCCTCTACTGGAAGGCTTTTATTGATGTCATCAGGAAAGAAAAACAATCATGCAAAACTTGATGACTCTCAACTGCCTTTATTCTTCCACATCCAAACCCTGCTGGATGATTGCTTCTGAAAAACTGAGTGTTACGTGTGTCTGAGTAAATGCCAGTGATCATTAGTTCTTCATCACAATTGCATTTTCCTACTCAGTGAGTTCTTTTATGGACCAGTAATCTTTGCTTTTCCTATTGAAATACATGTGTAGATTATATTCACTAGTTATTTTCAGTATTTATGCTTTGTTAGCCGTATTTTAGACCTTTTCCATGTTTGTCCCATTTCGGTCCCATTAAAGCTCACAAGCTCCATTTTGTCGTTCCTTCCTGGCGTTGAGTTGTGAAACAAATCTTGCCCATATCTGTGATATTTCCTAATTCAACATCATCCCCCTGCCTGCCTGAAACAGGTCTCTGATCAAAAGATCACACTGTGGCCCTACAGTTTGGTTTTTCCCTTCCCAAGCCACGTGTCCGATAGGAGTCATGGAATCCTTGTTGATGGTGTGGTAGAGCAATTCTCCTGGAGAGCCTGTCTGTGGAGATCTTCCCCATCTTGTAATCTGAACTACTCCTGGAGAAGAAGAAATCAACCATCCTTCTGCCTAGAACTACACACAGATATTTCTGCTCTGTCATTCCAAGGTGCTCTTTGCTCTCTCCGACCACTCCTATCCCACTTCCTCAATTAAGATGCAGATAGTTACTGAGTCAGGACATTTTTCATCTCAGATTCCTCCTTACCTTTTCTAACACATCCCTATTTATCTCTCTGGCTTTTCCTTTAGAAATAAGCCTGGGTTTGATGTGTGTTCACGCTGCCTTCAGGCCATGTTTCAGAAGAAAGAAGAATCAAAAGGACTGCAAAATAAGGAACCTGTGTTGAGAGGAGAATTCTTTAACTCTTGTTTTTTTGCTTGGCTGTTTCTGTCAACTTTTAATCATCAGATATTCCTTAACACTGTTTCAGCTTGGCTCATCCCTGTTAATTATTCAGCACCTTAAGTTAGATCTTCGTCCTGGTCTCTGGCAAAGAAAGTGGGAAAAAAGGGCTAAAACTGCATTTTCAGTCTCTCTTTATGTTTGTTCATTTCATGTGAAAGGAGCCCATAAAAGCATAAAGCATGTGCGGAATTCCTTAGAAATATGAATCATATATTGTATATCCTGATGAAACATCGATTATTTTTGGTCAGCTTTTAGTATGGAAACCTTGGGCTGCTTTTTCTCGGTCTTCAGGATGGTGGGGACACAGATACCAAGTCCTGTAAAATGACCCAAGTCATTTTGTATTGATTTAATAACCTGGTGGAGTCCCCATCCCTGGAAGGGTTCAAAACATGGGTAGATGTGGCCCTTGAGGACATGGTTAGTGATGAACATGGTGGTGGGGCAGCTTGATGGTTGGACTTGATGATCTTAAAGGTCTTTTCCAGCCGTAACAATGTCATGATTTTATTATTTTAGATATTTTCTCTCTTGGGTATTTCAGTTGTGTAAGTTCTTGTATCCTCAAAATCAGCTTTTAAATTCACTCTGTTATTTTGAAGGCTGGATAATAGATTCAGTGCTTCATGACAGATTAATTTATACCCTTGGTCCTTAGCTTTATATCATACTTGCTTTATATTCTATAAGTTATATAAATTATCTTGAGATTCACTGAAAACTGAGGGGATTTTTTTAAGCTGTTGCATGAGGTATAAACAGCTCTTTGTGCTTGGATCATGTGATGCTTTAGCCCTGGTTAAGATTTAACTCCTCTGCAACAGGTAAATTACTACATATTAATTTTACAAAGTACTTCCAAACCAACTAATTGATGAATTTAAAGTTACATTGCAAAGTTTAAAATACTAAAACTAAGAGGCTCCTCTGTTCCAACAATTTGGGAATAAAGGTTTTTGTGGACAACAAAAATGTGAGAAAATATTATTTGAGATGAGCACAGCAGCTAATCCAGTACTGGCAATGGATTTGCCTCATTTATTTTTTATTTCTTCAGAAAATAATGTCATAAATTCTAATGGAAAAGGAATTCTGTGAGTTGCTGCCCAAAGAAATAATGTGTGTGACCCTTAGAACCTCCTCAGTCCCAACTCTGTAGCAGAAGCTCCTGTTTGATGTTGCCTATTCCATTGTATAAATGACATTTTTTTTGTGGAAATCCAATCATGTCTCTGACTTGTGAAGTTTTACCTATTGGAAGTCCTTTGGTTATTTATGATTACTTTTCTTCACACGTGGGAATAACTTGGATGTGATCAGAAGTTTGTGATTGAAGGTTTCATGCAATCACTATCTCCTGCCTGTCAGGAGTAAACAGGATTTTGAGGAGAATCCCATGATTCCATTAAAACAAGTCCTTTGTTTTGCCAGAAAGTCTAAACCAAGGCATTTTCCTGGATATTTAATGTGTTTAAAATGTGTAAATAAGTATTTTCTAAATAAGACAGCAAAACCAAACATGCAAGAAAGTTAAATTAGGCAATTTAGGTGATTACCAGGAATAATACCCCTGAATTGTATCATGGGAGTTATAATTTATGGTTTAGAACCGTTGTGAGCAATGTTAATTTTTCACTAAGTGTTCTTAGTTTCTATGCTGGTTTTTCATGCTTTTGTAGTTTTTAGCATGTTCCATTATTGTGTTTAAAAATAATTTAAATATTCACTTTATTCTGAACCTAATAAGACTTCCATCCTAAGAGCCAGAAATCAGATCTTCTCTGTGTAAGTCCTGAGTGGAGCTACTTATGAATGGAAAAATAGCTCCAAATGTGATACCAGTAAAGATTTATGGAAAATCTTTGGTCAATTTTATCAGCACATTAATTCCATTCCATTACATCATTTAAATCATGAATATTTAACTGAACATTACTCATAATTGCTCCTTTCCTTATCCACCTTTATAAAATGACCCCACATAAAAAATATAATGAAGCTTTCCCTAAGAAAAATAAAAGTAATTACATGGAAGAGCTAAAAATAGCAGCAGCTGATGGAAAATCTCAGCTAATATTCCACTGGAGACCTTGGCAATGCTTCATCTTTTGATGGAACCCCAATGAATGGAAATTAATCTGCCTCCACACCAATGTTAGTTTATGCATTGATCAAATAAGTTGGGAAATACATTGGAAAAGAGTGGGAGAAGAAAAAGAGAAATTAACCCATCAGTGAACTGAGTGTGGAACAGGGCAAGTATCAGCATTAAGCAGCAAATTTATCAGGAATTAATGTGTGTCAGGGTGGCTGTTGGGGCAGGAAGACGAAATGGTGCTGAAATAAAACTGGGCCTGTTTCTGGATGTTTCCAAACCACCCAATGATCAGCAAAAATTCCATATTTGTTGTGTTTCGAAGACTCACTTCCCTCTCCTCCTGCAGACTGACCTTTCTAGTTCGGTGGAGTTTATTTCCCTGTTGTAACATACTAAAAATGAAGTTGCCTTGCCATAAATATGCAGCAGAGCTCCTGTGCAGCCACAGCACAGCCTCATTTTGCCATCATTTAGATGCTAAAACTGGGCTCTGGTTTCCAATCCCAGCATTTTTGATCATCATTTTTACCTCTGGTGCAAATTGCAGAGATGAAATTGTTGATATTTTAGAGCACAGCAGTTAAGACTATGCTAATTTTTTGATTATGATTTGATTACCTTAGAAGGCCCCTGAACTGCCTCTTGCAGTTAATGCTAAATTACTTAATTAATTATTTTTATCTCTTTTTTTACCAAACCTAGTGTGATATTTAGACCACTTTGGTCCACTAGGGCTTAAAAGAGAAATTCTGCTCTAGTGGTAAAACCCTGTCCTGGTTTTGTTCATGGAAACAAAGGCAGTGATTGATATATTTACTTTGAACTCCATTAAATTTGAACCTCAGAGCAGTGGAGGGCCTAGCTCAGGCCATGAAGAGCCAAACCACTCTTTAGTTATAAAAAAGTTGATCACAAATGTATAAATCTGAATCAAAAAGCCACTTTTTATATTGTATTTCATTTCAATTACTTATAAACTTAACAAGGGACATTTTCCTTGAGAAACTATACAAAATTCTACCAAGATTCTGTTTATTTTTACACTGAAACAACTGTTGCTTTTTAGTTCAAGGATGGAATATATTGTTCAAATTTGCATCATCAGCATCAAACTGGTGTAATTCTTTTTACCAGAACAGTATTGTTGCAGCTTTATTTTCATCCAAGCAAAATTTGACTGACATTTTGCAAGTTAAAATCTCATTTTAGATATTTCCTAATCTCTTACAGGTCAATGCACAAACTGACTCAGCTGGAGAGACTTGATCTGGGCAATAATGAATTCTCTGAACTGGTAAGAAACACAGCATTTTTGAACAGAAAACCTGTGAGGTTTGGATGCTCTGTTGGTGGGGCATTGAACTTTTAGTGGAAAGGCTTTGCTGGATTGTGGCCACGGGCGAGGGACACGTTTCCTTGTGGAATAGAAGGTTCCTGAGGTGAATGTTGATGTCAGAATATGCTTCATCTCCATCAGGCTTCTGCAGTTCAGGTCAAGGTCACAGAGGATTCTCCCTCTGAGCAGATTGTTACTCCTGGGATACTTCACTAGTCATGAATTGAGGATCTCAACAATTTTTTGCATCAATTATGTATTAATTTCTTAATAGTTATCATTATATCATATAATTGATATCTTATATCAAACATTAGAAATAGCTGTTACTAATTATTAGAAATTGCTATTAGCAATTTTTAGAGAAGCTGTGTCTGCCCCATCCCTGGAAATGTCCAAGGCCAGATTGAACAGGGCTTGGAGCAACCTGGGCTAGTGGAAGGTGTCCCTGCCCATGGCAGGTGTTGGAACAGGATGATCATTAAGGTCCCTCCCTGCCCAAACCACTCTGTAGTTCTGTGATCCCACCCTTGCAGGAATGCCATAGGAAAAGTGGTACTAATTTAAATCAAACCTGTGAACAAAAGGATAAAAAGGCCCTGTTTTCATGGATTCTGAAAATCTGATTTGGGTTTCAATAGAAATTTCCTTTTTTTGAGAGAAAAATGTTCCCTGGAGCTGTGATGGTGTGGGAGAGGTTAATTTCTTTGACATCCTGGGACTGTTTTGCCCTGGAAGAACCTGTGCAGGCAAACTGGAGCCACAGGCACAGGGTTAACTTCAAAACTGAAGTAATTCTGTTCATTCATTTTGCTGGAAACAAGATGACACAAATCATGGGGTTCCTGGAATAGAAACTGTCACTTCCTAAAGAGCAGCTGTATCCAGGTGACTTCATGTAATCAAGGGAGGGAAGAGGCAACTCATGTCCTGGGGCTCTGGGAGCTGTAAATCCCAAGGAATGGGACATAGGTTTGACATCTGAGGGGATTTTAGACCCTTTTTTTGACATTTGAAGGGTCAAAAACTGGCACCAGGCAGATGATGAGCAGCAATGACAGCTGGAAAGGAAACAGGAGAAGGTAGGGAGAAAAGGAAAATGTAAGAGGATAAAATGTAATATGTTTTTAATTGAAGATTAATGTCAGTCTTTAATTCAGACTTGATCCTGGGAAGCATTTCTGTACCAAGAGGGTGGTCAGAGCCTGAAACAGGATTCCTGGAGAGAGGGGGTTGATGCCCCAAGCCTGGCAGGGATTAAGGGGCATTTGGGGAATTCCATTATTAAAGTTTTGGTCAGACTGAATTGGTCAGGAATGGATGGTCATTCCAACTGATTTTATTAAGACCCTTCCAATTCATTCCTATTCCTATTCCCACTCTCCTCTATTCCAATTGTGGCAATCTATGTGGAAAATGAAAATGTTCTTCAAAAAGACATCAACTGAAGCATTTCTAACAGAGACAAATAAGTTTTTAATATCAAAATGTCTCATCTGGGTCCTGGTGAACCATAAAGTGCCATAATCCAGGATACACCATAAATTCCATAATAATGGTAAATTATAATCCATGCTCAAGGAATTTCACCTCAAACTGTGCTATGTCCAGCACAGGAATAGGCTGTTCCCTCTGAGAAAGGTGTCTGTTAATGAGAGGAGTTTAAAAGCAAATTAAAGTTGAGAGGGAAAATTATGATTATCCATAATGACCTGAGTCAGTGAACACTCTGGAGGAATAAAGAAACATTAATCAGCACAGGAACAAATAGTATAAAATAACCATTAATCAATTTAGCCTGGAAATGAGAAATGGATTTAATCATAGAAGGACAACAGAATTTTAATAGAATTAGCAGAGGCAAAATAAATAATCTTTAAATTGTTAACTAATAGTTTTTTAATGGAAACACATCGTGTGGCTATGTGGAAAACTGAGCGATTGAGCTCTGCTGCTGAGCAGGTTTATTGTTACCTGATGAGGCATCAGGCACTTCTCCTGCCTGGAAAAGTGAAAAATCACATTTCTCTTGGGAATGACAACACTGCAAAACACTCAGACCACATGAGATAATTGGAGATCTCTCTTAAGGTCTAGTGGTGCTGGGCAGAGGTATTTGTTCTGGCTGTGTTGGGATAATTCCAGGGCAGTTGTACCACAGGCCTTTAAAATGCTTGAACCTGGTTTAGTCAGGACCAAATGGAATGTTTAGTACCAGTTTCTGGTCTTAAAAATATCTCTACACCTTGATAAAGGAAAGCAAGTTGGAAGTCCTGGTTTGCTGTGGAAAGTGTTTCATCAGAAAGGAAAACGCTGCTTAGGCTGAAAGCTGGGAGTATTTGGGACCTGATAATTCCTGGTTTTCCCAGATCTAAGGAGTCAGAAATGATCTGGGGAATTGCCTATTTCAGCTTCTCTCATTAAGATCTCATAGTTTTGAAAAGAGTAAAACAGATTAAATTTAATATTGCGATTTTAAGGCACACCATGACTGTGACTCCTGAGTGTGACAACTGCAGACATCAACTCTCCTAACAAGTTCTCCTTTGGATTCAGTTCTTTTCCAAAGCATTCTTGTATTTTACGAGTTTTGCAAAAGAGCACCAGTGGTTAAATTAAATAAGTGAGCTGTTCCTGTCATTAAATATCTGAAAGGCTGATGTGGGTTATAAAAAACAAAGGAAAGTGAAGAGGGAATCTTTTTTTTTACACCAAAAATTGATTTATATTTAACTGAAAAACCACTGCTATATGTAACTGTCCATAATTATATATTTTTTTCTCAGCCTGAGGTTCTTGAACAAATTCAGAATCTAAAGGAACTGTGGATGGACAATAATTCTTTGCAAGTGCTTCCTGGGGTATGGACATTTATTCTTTGTAATTGAATTATTGTGTTATGTAGTGACCTATTTACCTGACAGTAAAGGAGCATTTTCTTGCATGGGGGCACAGTCCTTCTGCACAGTCATTAATTATAATCCAGAAATAAAAGTTACATGATAATGTCTAAATATTCAACACAGAAAATCTTCATCTCTTTGGTGGGGCTGCAAATGAGATGGGAGTTTTGAGTGAATATCCCTTCAATCCATGTCCAAATGGAGAAATAATACAACTATATCACCAGAAACTCAGTTTTTCAGCAGATTTCATGAATCTGGAGCACATTAATTAGCAATAAAAGTTAAGCGATAATGTCTAAATGTTCAACATGGACAAGCTTCACTTCCTTGGTGGAGCTTCCATCAGATGAAAATTTTGAGTGAATATCCCTTGGATCTGTGTCCAGATGGAGAAATAATACAACTGTATGGTCAGGAACTCAAATATGCATCAGATTTAATGAATCTGGAGCACACTAATTGGTTTGGGGTGTTTGGTGCAGCTCCTGAAGGGGAGGCTGAGACCACCTTGGTCCTGCCTTGTAAAGGTGCTGAGATAATTGAACAGAACCTGTATCACTCTTGTTTGTCTCTAATTAACTTAGCAACTGGTGTGTGTCTGTCCAAGTAACTCTTTCTCACGTGCTATTAAGTCTATAGGGAAGTTAAAACAGCTCGTGTACCTGGATGTGTCCAAAAACAGGATAGAAACTGTGGATTTGGACATCTCGGGATGTGAAGGGCTTGAGGATCTCCTGTTGTCATCCAACATGCTGCAGCAGCTGCCAGATTCCATTGGTGAGAAAAGCTCAGGGATTCCTCTAAACTTTTCCACCTGAAAATTTAATTTATATGTACTTTTTGGTAATTATAAGACTTTATAATCGTGGCCCAAGAACTGACATTAAATCCTAAAGGAGGCACAAACATCTGTGTGTGGACAGTCCCTAAAGACCATTTGGTAAAGTCAGGAACAAAAATCCCTGGCTAGAAAGTACTGATTTTTCTAGTTTGCTCTTTTAAGGAAAATAAGTGAAGAAGGCTACAAGTGATCTAAATTTCAAAGTATGAGAGTGATGGGGGGAAATTGCTGCTCTGAGTTACAGCAGTAAAAAGGAAATAGTTCAAACTATTAATTATCTTTTTTGACTATGTTTCATGCACTGAACTTCAGATTTTTTTAGGATATATAGAAATTCTGGAAGCCAAGTGCTTGTAGGCACATCTGGATCTCTCATTTCAGTGTTGATCCCTCATATTTTCTTTTCAACTTCCCTTTGAACTGTTAAACAGGACTGGCATTTGATTAATTAATAAAGAAAAATCATTAATAAAGAAATTTATCTATTAAGACATTAACAGATAATTAGAAAACTACTCTTCCTGCATAGGTAAGATAGTATTATTTTTATTGCTTTATATTTTTATAAAGATATTATTGTTTTATTAATATTTATATTATTATCTATTTTTACATTATTTTTCAAGGCCACAGAAATGCACTTAATATTTCTCTTGCAATTCAGCTTAACATTTGATCAGGACTTTATTTTGATTAAAAGAACGTGTCCTATACCCAGATATTCTCTAAAATCCAGACCTGAGTTATTCAGTGTTAGAAATCGTTAGGGTTTTAGCACATGGGAGATTATAGAAAATATTAATGTCAAATATTTTTCTACTACTTTTTCCCCACCTGCTCTCTAGGGCTGTTGAAGAGGCTGACAACTCTGAAAGTAGATGACAACCAGCTCACAATTCTGCCCAATGCCATTGGAAAGTGCGTATGAGATTAATGTGATTTTCAACGTTAAGTAAAATGTGTTTTCTCTTCTGCTTTTTTTCCTTCTGTTTTTGTTTTAAATATCAAATAAGACAAAGATATCCTGAATTATAAAATAATTCAAATTTTATAAATAAATTTGCAAATAATTTTAAAATGCCTCCTAACACCCAGTTTAAAACATTGAAATTTGGAGTACCACTATTACTTCTGTGGGTTTATACTGGTGTGAGGGATAAAAAGGCAAAATATATTATATTTTCCAAGAAAAAGGCTACTTTTCTGTGTGAATCACTCCCAATTTAGATGATTAGAGCAGAAAAAGTAGAAGAAATAGGAGTATTTGGGGGAAATACGTCTGTTCCCATGGCAACAGCCTGAGGCTGGTGTGAGAAGGAGACGCTGCAACCCTTGTTTATGTGGAGATTTCTTAAAATATTCCAGTGGTCCCAATGGAACAGCCATGAAAATTTCATGGGGATGGGGCAGGATCGAAGTATTTCCTGCAGCTGGGGTAGGATCCTGTCGTTAATTGATTGTGAGAAGCACTAATGGTTCCCTTTAGCTCTCGTGGGGTCAGCTAGGACACAGATCCCTGGCTTATCCTGATGAGGGCCTGGAGCTCTTTGCTCACCAAAATCTGCCATTTATTGTCAAATTTGGGGTGATGCCACTGTGTTCCTAAGGATGGAATCAAGGGATTCTTCGTATAGGTTCCCACTGCACATTCCTTCTGGCAGAACATATCTTTAATATTGGTGTTTTTGTAGGGTGCCTCTTCCTCTACATATTTTGCTTCTGAAATTCTATATAAACTGATATTTGGGAAAAAAAATCAGAGTTCCTTGTCCATGGCTGCCTTCCCCAGGTGTGGCACCAGACTTTGCATCCTCCCCAGGGCACTGGTGTTGATGCAGCAGAGACAAAACTGTGCCAGGGGAAGTTCAGGTTGGACATCAGGAGGCCAACTGTGCTACACGCTCTATAGCAACCAGTTCGTAGAATCCCAGACTGGTTTGGGTTGGAGGGACCTTAAAGCTCATCCTGTCCCACCCCCTGCCATGGGCAGGGACACCTTCCACTAGCCCAGGTTGCTCCAAGCCCCGTCCAACCTGGCTATTTCAATAATAACTTAGCTGTTGTGCCATTTGGGAAAAATAAGCCAAATTTCTGAACTATTTCAGCTGCAACCACTGACAGGCCAGGTTGGCTCACCCTTCTGTAGTTTTTATAATGTCTCCAGATTTATGGAATATTCATGGAGAGCATTAAAAGGTGGTGATGTGAATCACTAAAGGACAAATCTTTGCTACTCAAATCATCGTGTTGCAGTACATTCTGATGAGCAGTGAAAGCTCATAAGGCTCAAAGCTCTACTGGATGCTGCAAAAAGGTTGATCTAATGTTTAGCTTTAACAGTTTTGGAGGTCAGTTTCTAAAACCTTCTAAAACTTCTTTTTTGCCGAATTGCTCAAATTGAAGGAGCCCCTGTTTTTTAACCTAATATCTGTTTGGTATTGTTTGTCTTGGAACCTTAATTATATTTTTAAAGACACAACTGCTGCTCTAAGGTGGGAATGCAGAGCAGAGGCTGATCATCTGATATTATATGTTATTTGAGAGCGACTGGTTGTGCTTTTTCAATGAAGTGCTCCCTCTCTAACAAGGACAGTGTCTCCCACATCAAAATGAACTTGGCTTTCTCTGACTCATCCCTTTGGATAGTTTTCTACTGAGTCTCTTTCTCCTAAATACTGGTGGCAGTGCCTACCACAGAGCCTGTTACTGTCACACAGGGATTAACAAAGTAGAGGAGGGAATGCTCCCTCCAGGGACCAATTTCTCCATGAGACGCAGAGCATTTCAACTCTGGTGCTGGTGGGGACCCACCACCCTCGTTTTTGGAACTCTTGTTCAAAGGACAAGCCTGTGGTGGCATTCAGAGTGTGGCCCTGCACAGTAGACCCATTGTAATAAAACATTCCACACAAAATCAGTGATTCCTACTGATTAAGTTACTAAATTAGAGCCAAAGGCTGGAGATGTTCTCTGCAGGACCTGGGGAATGCCCTGTGTGGGTGGGAAGGTGCCAGGAGGGAAGTCACGAAAGGGGGGTGCAGTGTGTTCTGTTAGAGGAGTGTTTTGTGTCCAGTCTGTGCCACATCTGTCTGTACCAGATGCTGCAAATGACAAAGTAAACTTGTATTCCCAGCTTTTGCAAGGGCATGGAGTGGTAGAACAGGGCAGAATGGCTTTCCACTGCCAGAGGGGAGGGTTAGATGGGATTAATGGGGAGAAATTCTTCCCTGTGAGGGTGGTGAGGCCCTGGCACAGATTGCCCAGAGAAGCTGTGGCTGCCCCATCCCTGGAAGTGTCAGAGACCTGGTTGGATGGAGCTTGGAGCAACCTGGTCTGTGGAGGAAATCTGCTCTAAAATTTCCTCCCAGGGCTGTGTCTGTAGTTGTGTGAAGCTTTAGAACTCCCAGAGATTTTAGGTTGTTAACTGTGGTTCTCCACCCCTTGCACAGCTGCTAACGAGTGTATTTACAATTCCAGTTTGTCTTTGTTAGAAGAATTTGACTGCAGCTGCAATGAATTGGAGTCCCTGCCCTCCACCATCGGGTACCTCCACAACCTGAGGACCTTGGCTGTGGATGAGAATTTCCTCCCGGAGCTGCCCAGAGAGGTGAGAGGCTTTGGAATTACAGATTGAAATGTTTTGTGGGAGCCCAAGATTTTATCCTTGCCCAGACAAATTATCTGTTAAAGCAATTGTTTGTGGAATGATGTGGGAGACCAAACCTTTCTTATGTGCTCAGTAGAAAAACTGAGCAGTAAATTAATAAATTCCTGTTAAATTTGGAATATCCTTGTGAAGAGCAGAGAGAGTAACCCCAGGAACCCTGAGGGTGTTACTTTCTGATTAAATTCAGCAAAAACCCAATTCAGCCACCTCCTGCCATGAAAAGTGAGTGATAATAAATGTTGCCAGAGGCAGGATTCCATCACCTTTGGCTTTTTCATTCCGCAGATTGGAAGCTGTAAAAACGTTACGGTGATGTCTCTGCGCTCCAACAAACTGGAATTTCTTCCCGATGAAATTGGGCAGATGCAGAAGTTGAGAGTGTTAAACTTGAGCGATAACAGGTACAGTTCACATCATTTCCTTAACCAATTTAAGCATTTATTAAAAAAAAAATTTAAACTGTTTTTTTTAGATATTTTCTAAAAATACGTTTATATAAAATATATTTTATAAAAATGTATTTAGAATGATATTAAAAATAACGTGGTTATTATTTACTTTATTTAAAATATAAGGCAAGAATCTTGATTTTTTTTTTTCTAATCTTTATGGTTTGATCTTAGTTCCACTGATACCAAAGAAGAAGTTGAGTGGGGCCAAGATCTGGGTCTTGGTGTGTTTTAATAGGTTAAAAACCATTTGCTTCTTTTATGTCCTACTGTTTCCATGCAAAAATGTGATATTTGGCTTATATAGGTTTGTAATATTTAATGAGGAAAAAGCTGATCTATAGGGAACCATGAAGTGCAAGCACAGGAGTTTGTTATCCTGCCTCCACTGAAATTCAAGGAATATTTTTCATTCCCTTCAGTAGAGTTTTTTTGTCAAAACCCCCAGATTCTTGTATTCTTATGCACATGACTCTGCTTAGATGAGAAACAAAATGCTTAAACTGAGCCTTTCTTGATACCTGTGCTGCCAAAGACTGCCTGCCTTGAGCTTTATCCACGTGGGTGTGCCAAGAATATGGTAATTTTCAGCACAAGCACAGAAATCCAGGTTTGCTGGATAGTGCCACGTATGGGGAGTAAATTCCATTTTCTCTCCAGTAATTACCCTCCACACTCAGTAAAAATAAGGAGAAGGGCTTCCCACCCCTGTGTCAGATTTGCTGTCAGCAGTTTCATTGTTGAGATTACAGCTGAGCAGAAAATATAAACCATAAAATGAAGTAATGTAGAACCCCTTTAATATATTTGTTTAAAATTACTTGTTTAATTCAGTTGATTCTTTTCTGCATTGCAATTGTGTGTCATAAAATCCATCAGGGCTGGACCAGAATGGAAAGTTAAATTTGAGTCTAGTTTGTGTTGTGACTGTACAAATCCCAGAATCAGGAAATGCCTTCAGGTGGCACCAGGGGAGGTTTAGGTTGGATATTAGGGAAAATTCCTCACGGAGGAGCTTGTCTGGCCCTGGCAGTGGTGGAGTCCCCATCCTTGGAGAGATTAAAAGCTGTATGGGTGTGGCACTTGGGGACATGAGTTAGCAGTGGCCTTGGCAATGCTGGGGAATGGTTGGACTTGATGGTCTCAGAGGGCTTTTCCAACTTAAACAATTCCATGAATCTATAACTCTATGATCAAATGGTGGGTCTCTTGATTTTGGGTTCCAGACTGCAATGTTTTCCCAGGGACAGGCGTGCCCCCCATCAGCATATTGGTGGCGGCAGTGTGTGTTTGTGCCTTTATCTGTACAGACAGAGTCTGAAACAACACTTCCAAACCACTCCAGCTGCCATTCCTGCCACAAAGGCAGGCTGGCTTTCCTTCCTGTCCCTGCATCCATGTGCCCTGTCCTGTCCTGCTGAGGTTTTGTCCAGATGTCTGTCATCCTGGATCCATAAGTGATGCAGGTGAACGCAGCCCGTGTCAAATACAGGGAATTTTCAGATGAACCTTTCTGTGTCTGGTTCCTGCCCAGCAGCTGTGGTGGCACCTGGGAGGGGACATAGGTGGGCAAAGGAGTGGGGAGGCAGGAGGACAACCCTAATTCTGGGCACTTGGGAGTTCAGGGTACAGGTGCCTTCCCTGGCACATGAAACCGCTCTCAGCTGGGTCACTGCCCCTTTTCCAACCTGTGATTGTGCCGTGAGTCTGAGGTGAGGGACAGGAAACCAATGGGGTTTACTTGGATTTTGTTTCCCATTTTTTTCCCCAGTGACTTTTCAGTCAGGTCAGCTGCTGTTTTCAGTCCCATCACTTCAGTGTGGTGAGGGACTGTGAGTGCTGAGGTGAGACAGGGAAGGGCAGCTCATGGCTGGGAAGGAGTGGGAGCAGACAGGGCTTCCCAGCTAGGCTGACCCAGCAGCTGGATCCCACCAAAACAGCTATCCTGCCCCAGTTCCTTTTCCTCAGCTGCCCAGCTAGGACAGGATTGGGATTTCCACTGGGAAGGAAGGTAATTATGGGACCAGCATCCCAGTGATGGGATGTTCCTTGAGATGGGATGGGATGGGATGCGATGGGATGGGATGGGATGACATGGGATGGGATGTTCCTTGGGGTGGGATGTGGCAGCTACTATCCTTCCCACTCCCCTTCAGGGGTGTGTGGTGGTGGTAAGCTCTTTTCTCCAGTCCTCCTGGAAAGCTGTGCAGTGAGCTGTGAGCATTGTGGAACCACTAGGAGAGTGGAGTCTGGACTGGGAGAGATGGGAGCTGACTCCCCCCCCCAGACATTCAACCTTTAAACTCAGCTGAATTTTCTTTAAAACTGGTTGAATTGTCTCATGTACTTTTCTGGAGTGGTTTGGGCAGTAAATCTTTCCTCCTTCCTTGCTGTCAGCTCTGGCTGAGGTTCAGTGTTGCTCTGCTGAGATGTTGTGATAATTCTCGTGCCATGGAACTTCCCACTGCAATGAAACTAAAACGTTTTCACATTTTGGCACCAAAGAGCTTGGACAAAGTTCAGATTCCTTCTTAATGCTGGAGCTTTTAATGATTTTATTTTTTTTTTTACTTTTCTCTCATCCCATTTTCATTAACATTCAGGCAATGTCTGTTCTTTCTTTGAATGAGTCCACATGTACCTGCTTAAGAGAAGGGTGTCTGGGCTCTGCTTCCTGCTGGGAGCCTTCCCATGTTCCCACAGCAGTTTTGCCCCTCTACTCTTCTCCAGATCTCACAGGAGGTAGAGCACACCAGCTCTTTTCCTGGGTACCCCTTCAAGCTATTGGAAGAAGAGACAGAGACACACAGAAGCAGGGCAGATGGGTGATTCTGGAGCCTCCTGAGCTTCACCCTGTTGTGATGGGCTCCTGGATACTGGGATGTGCATCAGCCGCTTCCCTCTCAACTTGTTATGGGGCCTGCTGAACCCTGGGCCCCTCTAAGAGGGATCCTTTACCCAAGCACTGCTAATGCACAAAGCTTTTGAGGAGCAGCTGTCACTCCCTGTGCTTTATAACAAACAAGGATGGATTGTACATATTCCATCAGAATTTGCTGGTCAGCCCTTTGTGACTTTCTCTCCTGACACCAGAGGGATTCCATGTCCATCCTGACAGTGTCCAGTTGCTCATGCATCCTGGCACATTATTTCCTTGCCAAGGGAACAGACTGTCCCTGTGACTGTCAGTTCATATGATGGATCCATCACCACGGAGCTGGAGTTTTACAGAGGGAACAGCGTCTTCCACTGGTGATCTGCCCACTGCAGGTTCATCCCAGGGAGTGATACCTCGGGGAAATCTCCTTGTCCTTTGCCATATGCCAAATTTCACCTTTGGTGCCTACAATGGTGACTGTAAATGGGGCACTTGTGTATCCATTAACCTCTGACATCATTGCCCTTATCCCAGTGACTCTGGTGGGAGTTGGACTACTCACATGTTTATTGAGATGCCCTTTTGCCACCAAAAATGTTCGTTCTGGCCATGTTCCTCATGGCAGGGAGGTATAGTCTGCCTTGAGGGATGTAGATACAGGGATGTTGGTGGCTTTGCACTTCCCTTGCCAGAGTGCATGAAAGATCTGCAGTCTGCTCCTGGAATGGCCATGCACACATGGAGCCATGGATAGAGGAGCTTTCCCTCCCTTATGTTCCCTGGAGCTTGTCTGGGTGTGATAGTCAGGAACATTTTAGATCTGGTCTAAAATCCTGATTGGATGTCTTTGAGGGAGGAGGCAAACCTGACACAGACCTCTTTGCCCCCCTGGCTAACGGGAACCTCACACTTCTGCGAGGTGACACATTTTGCATGCAGGAGGGTCAGTGTTTGGTTCTATGGTGTCAGCTACTACAGACTTTCACTCTGCTCTGTGTCTTCTCCTCAGCACTGTAAGATGGACCTTGCTTATCTTAACTGACCAGAAGCTGTTTTAGTTTCAGGACTTCCTTCAAATATCCATGTTAGAATTCCCCTTTCACCAGAGAAATAGGCTCCAGCTTTCCTTTCCCACGCCAGTGATATCTGAACTTCTCATCTCCATAGCTGGGAGTCCTCTATCCTTTTATCTTTACAGGTCCAAACCTTTCCAACCTCCCACAGGCTCTGGAAAGTGCAGGATTCGGTTGGCTCTGATAGGCCATGATGGGTTGGACCCTGATTGCTGAGGTGGAGTCTCAGGAGGGCTGGAGTACAGCTGGCCAGCTGAGATGGCTTCACACTCTGTGGTCGGTCGGGACAGGTTTGACTCCAGACTCCTTGGGATCCATCCTTGCCTTTGCCAGGCACACTCTAGTCCAGGAGAACCGAGAAGTTTGATGAAATGGCTGTGCAGGTGCTGCTGGTGTGAAAGCTCCAGCAGTGCTGAGCCCCTGGGAGGCTCAGGGTACACGTGGGATTCATGCAGAGAAAAGAGCTGTGTGACTTACCAGTAACCGGTGTTCTCACCATGTGTAGTCCACATACACACCTGTCTTCCATCTGCTTCTCCTCTCTCCTCAGAGTCCTTCCAGGTCTGAGCCCTGTGATTGAGAGGTAGAATTGTTAGAATGTACATTTGGGCTACACTTCTCAAAGACATCGGTTACTGGTAAGTAACCTTTCTTTTAGTTCTAGATTGTTCTTGAAAGAGCTGAAAGAACCTTCCCCTTTCTGTGTGTGCACTGCTTCTGTCCTGGGCTCAGAACTCACCCACACAAGTTAGAAAAGCTCCTCAGATTAAATAATCCATTTGTTTTATGATAAGACAGCAATGAAAACTAAGTTTCAGGTAGGTCAGGCTCTCCTTACTTTCTCCTGTGCCGTTAATTCCGGGTTTAAATGTGTGCACACATGGAAAGCTGCTCTGATCTCCAGAGGCATTTAACTGGAGTTTTAACTGCGTGTGCAAACATTCATTTTTATATTTCACTTTTAGAGAAAACTGATTTCTAGTCTAATACATCCTTATTAAAACAATTCCAATACCTTACGGACACGCTGCAGTCCAAAAAAGCCCCAGTGTTAATGGGAATGAGCTTGTGGCAAAAAGACATCCAAATTCCATAAGGGAGACAATTCCAAAGCTTTGCTGCATGGAGACAATGGTACAAATGCTTGTGAGGGGCTCATCTCCCAGAAATACAGATTTTTTGTGTGAAGGAGGCTGTAGGAATGTTGCTGGTACAGGGACAGAGGGTTTTCCCACTGATGCAGCACCTGGAAATGGCTTACCTGGTTTTACTGAGCTTGGAGCCAATATGTCTGTGAGAGCCTTTGTTTCCCCAGAGTGGGGTTGTCTAACTCTCAGAAAAGGGCTCTCCTCTTTTCTTTTTGCCAAATCACATTTAGGTTTAGTCTTTGTCGAAGGTCCTTTGGTCAATACATCCCTTACCACTGTCCTCCAGCTCCTTAAACTCTGGACAAAAGCTGAGAGAACATCAGTCCACGGCTGGGACAGGCCATGTGTTGGTACAGAGCAGGTTTAGATGGGATATTGGGAAGGAATCCTTCCCTGTGAGGGTGGTGGGACCCTAGCACAGGTTGCCCAGAGAAGCTGCGGCTGCCCCATCCCTGGAGGTGTCCAAGGCCAGGTTGGATGGGGCTTGGAGCAGTCTGGGATAGTGGAAGGTGTCCCTGCCCATGGCAGGGGGTGAAACTGGCTCATTTTTAAGGTCCCTCCCAACCAAAACCAGTCTGGGACTACATGATGACTGAGGAGTAAAAATTCACGTTCAGGATGAGTTAGTGGGAAAAACATGAATGAATTCTCTGCAAACATTGTGTCATCATTTCCCATTCCCATATGCAGATCACTTTTAGGAAATATGTTTAAATGTCTAATTAAAATGCTAATTTTTTGCTGCTTCGTTTAATTTTGTCATTTAGGTTCACTATGAATATTTATATTATTTTAATCCTTTGTCTGACATTTCAACAAAAATGAATTTTCCGTGATCTCAGAGCGATTCAGTTACAAAACTCCAATGTCCAATAAAAGGAGTTCTGGGAACTACACTGAGATCTTTCCTATAAGTCTTCCTGGGACGAAGATTTTTCTGTTTTCTGTGTTATAAGTGTAATTTTGGCTACATTTTGCCAAGGCAAAATATCAGTAACTCCTCAGTACCTTAGGGTGTGGTGCCAGCATTTTAGATTCCATATATCTCTCTTAACATGGAATGCCCTTAATAAAATATTGTGTTTTAGTAAAAAACGAGAAAAAAAGCTATGAAATTACAGCCATTTCAGTATGATCAAGACAAACATCTTGCAGACAAATCTTTAAACAAACTATTGTGGAAATGAAGGATTCATGTTGTTCCAATATTATCATTTACAGACTGAAGAATTTACCCTTCACTTTTACTAAGCTCAAAGAACTTGCAGCTTTGTGGCTTTCTGACAACCAGGTAACGCCTTTCAGTATTTATATTTTCCTTATTTAAGGGGTCATTGGAAGGGCTGTAAATGAAACCTGTCATTTAATCCATGGTTGTATCAAAATTTCTCCAGCCCAGCTTTATACTTTCATATCAAGGTGTAGATCCTGCTGGCTGTCCTTTAGTAACTTGGAAAAAGCACCTTTGCAGGATTTATTTCACCTGGATAAGCTTCTCTGTCCTTACAAAAGTAGTAAATGAAGGGCGAAAGTAGCAAGAGAATAGTTATTAAAAATAAATTCAGTATATAAGGCTTTGCTACCAACCTTGTTAATGGTTTGTCCCATCATTTGCTCCATCTACACCTCTATTTTTGTCTTCCTTTTCCCTTTTCCTGTCTATTCTTCCCTTTCTGCATATTTTAATTTTCATTGTACTCAGGGGCCGTCTAAACATGTCAAAGATGCGCAAGAACTCTGAGTCTTGGTTTGGAGAAAACTCATTTATGTTTCTTTTAAATCTGAGTGTGCCTTTCTTTGTCTGAGGGCTTTGGTTTTAACTAGAGATTCTTTGGGGTTCTATTTTAAAGCAAATTATGTAACATGAACTCTGAGAAATGCAACAGTTCAACCAGCAGCTGAGCACTAAAATAAGTCTTAAATGTACATTTGCTTTTATAACTGAGCCAAAAATGGGAAAGCTGAAGGGAGGGGTAATAGAAAATGATGATTAAATTTTAATGTGTTAAATTGGGATTCTTGGTTTTTTTCGCTCTAATTTCCATTTTAAAAAATTAACATTCCATGGCTGCGCAGCCCAGGCACAGAACAGCCACTTCCTTTTAAATATGCAAGGTTTTCCAGCATTTGGCTTTTCTTTGGTGTAGGATGGATTAGTTTCCATTCTGTGGACTATGACAGTCACTCGGTGTTACATTAGAATAAATCAATAATAAAATCTCATCAATTAAAGTGAAGCATAACATCTGAACATTCAGAGTGGCTCCATGTAAGTTTTCCAGTATCTTGCAGCAGGTTTACTCTCAGAACAGGCAACTACTCTGAATTTACTCCTCCATCATTAATTAACTCCTCGTTAGCTCTGGCTTAAACTAGATCACAGCCCTAGTGGGGGTGTTTTACATAAAATGTTAAAAAAAAAATATACAAAATCATCTGAGGAGATTTAAATAATATTTTAAATTTAAAAGTAACAGTACTCTGATTAATAGCTATTTAACAGTCCATTTAAATCTTCTTGGAAATTCTTGATTTTTCTTTTCAATATTTTTCCCAACTGGGAATTTTTCTCTGACTCCTGTAACTGGAGACATTGAGTTCTGCTGCGGATTAACCATGCAGTGACAGGTCTGTGCTCCGACTTTTTTCCTTCCTCAGCCCAGAGCACTCGCAGTATGCCTGATGTTTTGCCCATCCTGGTGGGAATTGCAGGAGTTGCAGAAGGGAGGAATGGGAGGGGAGGTATTGCCACCAGCTTAGCACTTGTTTTAGTCCACAGGGAGTTTCTTTTCACACAGAATTGTAGATGTTCTTGTATTCCCTATTTATCAGAAACCGAATCCCATCTCAGCTCACACTCTGAGGTAACTGCTCTGGTTTTCCTCTCCAGTCCAAGGCTCTCATCCCGCTGCAGACGGAGGCACATCCTGAAACCAAGCAGCGAGTGCTGACCAACTACATGTTCCCCCAGCAGCCCCGCAGTGATGAAGGTAAAACACCAGCAAGGCAGGAATGGGGTTTGTTTAGAGGCTGGAGGAAATCCAGAGGGAGGAGGAGATTCAGAGAGAGGAGGAAATCCAGAGAGAGGGTTCCGACATGGCTCTGTGTGTGTCTCCTCACGCCAAGCCCATGGGACACACAGACATCCCTATTTTGGCACACACAGAGGAATCTGTCATTCTCAGGCCTTCAGATTTATATTTTCTAGAGCACTTTCATTTCCAGAGTGGCTTTGTAAAAGCAGTTTGGGTCTGGATCTGAGTGTGCATAGGAAGGAATTGTGGGCTCTGTTGGCCAGAGACTGGCCCCATCTGGCAGCTGGGGGTGTCCACCCACAGGGAGGGGAGTTCAGGGGTCCCAGCCTGGCTAAATTCAGGGTTTGGCTCCTTACAAAGCAACATTAAATTAGAGTTTTCATACTCCCCCTGTGCTCCAGGTGTGCCCCAAACCCTGTCTCTTCCCATCACTCACCACAGTTTTTATAACAACTCTGCCGTGGTTTCTCAGTTCCCACTGTCATTGCCCCCCTCAAGTTTTCAAACAATAACCCAAGATTGTGTGATCAACGAAGAAAAGCCTTTTTAGACCCTTTCCATCCTTGGGGTGCACCAACTGCTGGTTCCTGTCTCTTTGCCCTTTCTCTGCAGATTTCCAGTCGGACAGTGACAGTTTTAACCCCACTCTGTGGGAGGAGCAGAGGCAGCAGCGCATGACTGTGGCATTTGAGTTTGAAGACAAAAAGGAAGAGGAGGAAAACCCAGGGAAAGTTAAAGTATGTTCTGTTTGGTTTATTCTGGTATTAACATATTATGGACAGGGTCCAGTATACAGGTCTTGAATTTAATTATTTTTGTGTTCTAAATATCCAGAAACCTATTCCTATTCAGATTCCTACTGTGACAGGTGTATTGTCACAAAACCAGAATTAACACAGAGTGTTGGGAGACTTTGAATGATTGTCCTAGTTCTTTAGAAGGTGAGGAGGCAGCAGAGCATGAGGAAGAGTTTGACACTAAAATATATCCAAGGCCAGGTTGGACAGGGCTTGGAGCAACCTGGGCTAGTGGAAGGTGTCCCTGCCCATGGCAGTGGGTGGGATGAGATGGGATTTGTATAGATGCCCACACAGGAGCTAAAAACTCGTTGCTGGAACCTTCTAAGAACTTCAAGTGAGTCCCTCCAGCCATGGGTTGCAATAGTTCATGGGGAGGTTTCAACATGTACATTTTTAGCAGTTCCACCAGACCTTTAAGGGAGAAATTTGCAGGTTAATTTAAATTCTCAACAGGCAGTAACCACCAACACTGCAGCATTTATAGCAGCATAGATTATACACAGATTTCACTTTTTATCTTTCAGAGTTAAAACTGAACTCTCAGCCAAACATATGTTAAGATAGATTTGGTAATTGGAATTGTTCAATAACTTTTTCCATTGAGAATTTTGAACTTTGAGAATTCTCTCTTCGGGGTCAGGCTGCTTTTGATGTATCATTAAACCCACAGGAATAGTACTGACAGGGAATACAGATTTCCTCTCTGATGAAAGCTCTGGATCAGTGAGGAAAATATCTGCATTCCAGTGCTCTCACTCTCCACAGCAGCCAGGAGTTCTGCTGTTTAATATTAAAACTCACAGTCATGGCAAACTCTGCTGAAATCCGTGTCTAGGATTTGTCTCTCTCATCCAACTCTTCCAGTTAATTTTCCCTGACTAGTTTTTTCTGAGGATTTGCTGGGACTTGGCTTTTGGCCATGTCTGTCTCAGACCTTCCCCTTAAACCATGGTGTGAGTTCTAGGAGAAACCAACTGCCTAATTAGGCCAGCTCTAAATACAATTTCTTTCAACTACAACTCACCCAGGGCTTTATTGCTACTTTCCATCATCAATTTATCTTTTCTGTTGGAATTCTTTATTAACATATGACATCCCAGTCATACATTTGGACATTTTCTGTTCAAGTCATGTTAGAACCTACTCCCTGTAATGTTTATTCCCTTGTGGTTCAGAACTCTATGCCAGTATTTCATACAGTTTTATTTTCCAAACCAATCATTCTTCTGCCTCTGAAATGTTCCTATTGACAGACCATTTTCATTTGAATCCAAAATTACGTTTTTCCCACCGTAACAGTGAGCTGTTGAAACATACTCCTTTTCTTACCTCACTTCCACAGTGAGGTAAAAGCTGCTTTGTGGTAAATGATTCCAAATACTTTACCACATCGTAAATCTGTTTCACAGTTATCCTGACACACACAGATCCCTCTGGGAAACTTAGAAATTTAAAATATGGGGGTTTATAGAAAATCTGTGGGTCTATCAGTCAGTTAAAGCACCATTCAGGCCTTGTGGGGGTCCTGTCTGTGGTGGTTTGAGTCTGTTCTGTGTGAGAGAAGAGTAGGATGCACTCGAGTGCCAGTAGGAACATTATCCATCTCCAGGAGCAAATGGCTCCCAGGGGATCAGCTACTGCTCTCAGCTGCCATCCATAATTCAGATTAATTGAGTACATAGAAAGTAGCTAAATTAATTCTGCATTTACACCATCATTGTTTGGGGAAGTGGGATGGAATATGTCAGCACTCTCAAGCAAAGTGCATGATTAACATACAAGAGTCTCCCAGGGTAAAAGATTGTAGGGAGCCATTCCCATCCATTATTTTATGTCACTGGAATTCTGTTATAGGTTGACATAGAGTAACTGAGCACATTTCAGTCCCAAACTCCATGCAAATATCTCTGTGTAACACCTCAAATTATCCCAAACGTAAGGGATGTGCCCTGAGCCCCAGTACTGTAACAATGGGTTAGTTTGCATGCTGTTTGCATTTTGTATTTGTGCTTTAATTCTTTTTGTGAATGTTCAGGTTGAAATAAATCTAAAACGTTACCCCACTCCCTACCCGGAGGATTTAAAGAATATGGTCAAATCAGTCCAAAACCTGGTGGGCAAACCCAGCCATGGAGTGCGACCCGAGAACTCTGCACCCGCTGCCAACAGTGACCAAGGGGTGAAAGACAAGTATGAGCACAAATGGCCCATGACACCCAAGGAGATTTCAGTGGAGGTAATGTAAAGGCTCCTTGTTTCTCTCCAGAATCCCAGGTTTGAACACAACTTCTCCAAATGATAATTCTACATCTGCTGTGACCTCACACCTGAGAGTTTCTACTCTCACCTGTAAAGTTCATTCAGTTGTATATTGAGTTGCTGTTTTTCCCAATCCTGCTGAATTTTTGGGTTGAAATCTACCTAGATCTGAATTTTGCTGTTGATTTAGACAATTTTAATGATATGAGACTTGCACAGGAGCGGGAGGAAGGACCAAGCTTGTTTCCACCTCAGCCTTCAGTACGTGCATTCCCGCCTCCGATACGTTAATGACCAACCAGTTAGTTGTGTCTGACCCTACTGTGCCATGAGGTCCTGCTCCCTCAGTTTCTGTTATTAGGAGAAACCCAATTAACCTTGTCCAAAGTTCATGAAGGCAGCAGAACTTCTCCCACTGCAGGGAGCTTTGGATCAGGTATCCCTGAATACTGACTTCCAGTGAGTTGCAGAATCCAGCTCTTAAAGTGTTTGCCTGCAGTGGATCAGCAGAAACAGGGGCAAAGTTCTATTCCAAGACAAATATAGTCATTAAGGAAGCAAAATTCCTAAATCCTACTGTTCCAAATAGCAGGAGCTTGATCTCATCTACCCATGGACACTCTGACTGTGTGCAGGCACCATTCAGAAATAAGGGAATTCTCTTCCCCAATGGTTTATAATCTTGGATAGGTCTACAGGAACATCAGCATTCCTGAAAATCTTTACAAAGCCTTAATGTTGAAAAGAAATAACTGAGGAAAAAAATTCTCACATTCTTTTTTACTCCTTTGTTGTCTAAACATTATGAGAAACTCATTGTCCTTGAAATATCCTTGTCTCTGGCTTCTTGTGTGTGCAGGAATTGTTCTTCCTAAATTTTCCATGTCTTTAACATGAATGGGCTATTCTTACATACTCAGCTGTAGCTGCTCTGTCAGTGCTGTGTGTTTTATTTGCAGCTAAACATTTTCATTTCTTATCAAAATAACCAACAAAAGTTTTCCCTTTGAGATGCTTCAGAAGACTTCCTTCAAATCTAGGCACAGTTTCAATTTAGCATTTAAATATTTCAGTTAAATATTAAACTAAGATGTTTAAGTTAAATCATTCATGTTTTCATCTAAATCTGAAATCATAAATTCCACCATTATTCTTTTTTGTTTATTAAGTTCTTACTGTGTAAATCTAGGCTTTAAACAACTTGGGCCAGGAGTCTTTACATGTTCTGCTTTTGTTGCTGAATACATAGAATTTATTTTGTGTTATCTAGGTTTTGAACTTGAATATTCCTGACAACTTTCAGTGGGTTTGAATTATCCCTAAGCATGATCCGTCAGGAATTTGATCCATAGGGCCCGACAGAGGCTTTAGGTGTTTGGTCCCATGGCTGTGTTTGGTGATGCAGCCTCCAGAAGTCAGTCCTGGTTTGTTAACATTTGTTCAATTAAATGTGAAGTTTTTTAATGAAAATCCCAGTGAGCTGAGTCCCACGGGGTCCTGTGAGCAGGCAGAGCCCAGGGATTCTACGTTAGGAAGGCGTAAGGAAGGAGTAAGTGGCAGTGACAGCATAAAATATGAGTTACTCTGGTTTTGTGTGGAGGTACAGGAGCTGTCAGTGGCACAAGTCTCACAAAAAGCATTCTGCAAAACCAGCTGAATTGCTGCAGACAGACCCCGTGGTAATTCCTGAAGTGCAATTAAATAATGGGAGTGCAATTTCCTCCTTAATTGTCTCCCACAAGCAGCTGCTACGAGTGCACCACTGTTCCCATGGATCACTGGAGAGGGTTTTTCATCTTCTGTTATTACAACAGTGAGGAGGGGGGACTTTTTCACATTTTAATTTCCCTGGTACATAGTCAAGACTAGTAACACAACTATTTCATCAGGTAAGGAAAAGAAAAGGAGTGTTCTTGTCCCTCCTCCCAACACTGACACCAGGAAGGCGTTTTGGCTCCAAGCAGGGAGTTGTAAATACATTTTTCTCTCTTTGGCTTCCTGCGGGAAGATAAAGACATGGGGGAAACTGTAGAAAAAGTGTGAATAATTTTGTGAACAATATTGGCCTGATTTCAGTTGTAACACATTAAATAAAACATAATTAAGCTCCGTTTGCTTTTCAGATAATTAGGAGACACGATCTCGAGCCTCAAGTTAAAAGACAGTTTGAAATTGCAGGTGTGTTCTCATAGAGCTAAAGACTGAAGGCAGTTTCTAATACCAAGGTAATTTAATTTCAGGTGCAATGCTCACTTCTCATCCTCAGAGACCAGATAAGGTGGTTTCTGTTCTGATCTCTTTTGGGTTTTCTTGCAATTAATTTACACATGTCTCTTCACAAACTGTTCCTAAATAATTAAAGGGAGCATCTGAAATGAGTAAGAAGCTGCATTTCAAATCCCCTGCACCATCCTCCGCCTTCACTTGCAATAAGCAAACAATGTCTTGATTAGTCAGCAATTATAACAAACCTCTTCATTTTTCTAGGTCATTTTGAAACATGTGAGTTTTGGGCAAGTAGGAGGCTGGGATAATTTTGTGTCACCTTTCCATGAGAAACAGTGAGGAATCCCACAAATGAGCAATTTGGGTCTTTACAGTTCATATCAAGAATATTCTAAGAATATCCAACTTCTCAGTTGTCCCAGAGAAACTGTGGCTGCCCCATCCCTGGAAGTGTCCAAGGCCAGGTTGGACGGGGCTTGGAGCAACCTGGGTTAGTGGAAGATGTCCCTGCCCATGACAGGGGGTAGAACTGGATGGGCTTTAAGGTCCCTTTCAACCCAAACCATTCTGGGATTCTATGGAAGATCTCTCCAGATTATAATTTAATGTTCTTGTGTTCTCAGCCTGAATTCTTGGTGATATTTCTCTTTCTCAGTTGTTTTAATGGTCTTTCCCATGTGTTTTCTCTTGGGAAACAGCTTACTACAGTTTTCTGTCTTCTCCCTGTATCCTTCTCCAGTTAGTCCTGAGGAATAACACCATTTGATTTATCTCTTCTCTTTCTTTTTGCAATTGCTGCTATTCACAATACTTTTTTTCCTATTAGTGACCTTTTTGTTCTTGAGCTTGTAAGAACAAGGTCCTTTTAAAGAGAGTGGAATTAAATGGAATATGATTTGAGGTTTTTACAACATCTTTCACATTCATGGCATATTCACAAATGCCAGACTGGTTCTTTCGAAAGTGCATCGATTTTTGTTGGAATAACTGGATTAGGGGCTAAAAAGAAAATAGTATAAGGTAAAGAACTTCCTAAAATCATGCATCTGAAATAAAACCCTGTGTTCATCATGGTGTCAAAAATGGAACTGGTGGTTCTTACAGCAAGGGGGGTTATAACTTACAACTTTTGGAAGGTTCATGGCATGATGTTGGGATTCCAGGTTCAAGATAAAGAAAATAAAGAATTCTCAAAGAATCCCCTGTCTGAGACAGAGAACACTCAGGAATCACCTCTGGAAGCCTCAGACAGGGAGGAGAAAACCGAGGGCACCAAGAGTTCAGAGGTACAACCAGACCCGTGACAGGCACCGTGGGTGTCACAAGGGGAGAATTTCACACTCTGCAGTGCTGGGCACTCTTATTTCTCAAAAAAAAAACCCTGGTTTTGCACAAGTTTGTCACACTGCACTGGTAACTGGTTGTGCTCCACTGGAGAAAGGCTGTTGCACTGTTGTTGAGTTGTGTGGATATCACTCTGTCACCTACAGAACACCACAGACATCCTGGGGTCTCTGCATGGGGAAGGAAAGTCTTGGCTGTATCACACTGTGTAACTATTTCCCTAAATGTTAGTCCTGAGGAGTTTAAGTTGGGGATGCCGGTTTTTTGCTGGTTTGGGAAGGTCTTGCCTCCAGCAGAACACCTAGTACAGAAGGATTAAAATAACTGTTGTGTAAATATAATTATATTCTTCAAGGAAAAATTGCATGGTAAAGGTTTCTACAAATCTCTATTTCCACTGTTACTACAAAAAGTAGTTAATGGAGAGGAAACCTCTGAAAGTTTGCTCCTGATGAGTAAAAGCAAAAAAAAATATTAAAAATATTGGAGCATTTTACATTTTAACAATGGCTCAAATCCTTATCTTCTTCCACACCTTCCACACAAACCTATGAACTCAGTGAGTGTGTTTGGTTTGGGTACTCCAGTTTAAATTGTTTAATTATTACATCTCTCCTTATTAACTTCACTCTGCCAACTCACTGGAGAACCTTTACCAGTAACATGTCAGGGCACAGAGACCCCCATTACTATAAGTTCCCTCCTAAATATATTTCTTCTGTTTCTGTCCTCATTTATACTATTAAATATGGATTTTACCCTAATATCCCTTCAAAACTTCCTCTGTTTTAGTACATACTCTCCTTCTCCAGCCTCCATCCTCTTTACAGAATGACAGCTCCTCCTCTCATAAGGATCCTGGTGGCATTGGCTGAGCTTTCCATCTCCACCCATTCTCTTTCCATGACATTTTCCTGAGCTGGGCACCACCCATAAAAGTGGGTTTCCCGGGTTGCCCATCCTTCAGGCTCCCTTTCCTCCAGTCCCTTCCTGAGGGCAGGGTACCAGTGTCATCCCTGCAGTACCTGTCACACCCCTCCCTGTCTCCCCAGGACACCCATCCTCAGCTCTGAACTTTCTCCCCAAAATTCCTCTTTGTGACTTCATTGCCTTCTAACTGTCCTGTGAGCCTAAATGTCCTAATTTAAAATACCTCTTTCTAAGACTACATCCCACTTCCCTTCAACATTTTTCCATTTTATATTCTGTATATATCCCTTTGAAGGTCAAGATGTGCTGAACTCTCAGTGAGAAGTTTATTAAATCTGAATAATTTTAATTTAGCCACAAACCCTTTATAGACAAAGCCATTTTAATTAAATATAGCTACAGGGACAGCTGAATCTGTGGAGGGACTTGGGCCATGAATAACTGAACAAGGAACGTTTCCTCCTGAAATAACAATTGTTTACTCCTAATTTGTGTTTTTTTTCTGCTGGCAGCTTGTTTTTGTGACCTTGACTTCATCCAAAATGTTTACATGGCCTTGATGTATCTCACAAGTTCCATCTGTTTTGTCTACATTTCCAGAATGAGCACATCACCATAATTTTTAGGAGTATTTCTGGAGGACTAATTAGAACTTTCAGCTGACAAATCAGCATGATTAGACACTGCCCGTATGGTGGGGTTAGTGTGTTGTGAGGAGAAGGCTGGGAAATGTTTGTGCCTTGCAGTTTGAAGTGGAATCTGTCTCCTGTGTTTACTCTTCGTTATTATGTTTGTCAGGATGCCTTGGGACATCCATGTGTTTATTGTTCATTTTTATATTCCTCAGGATGCCTTTGGACATCCTGCCAGTGAGATGAGGATAGGGGAGCTCCGTCCTTCCATGCCTGAGACTCCGTTGTACCCCCCCAAACTCGTTCTGCTGGGTAAAGACAAGAAAGGTACTGACTTGGTTTACAACAACCTTTGAGATGAAAACCTGTGTGATATGCAAGGAGAGATGTTCCTGGAAATGTTTTACCTTTTGCTGTGATTTTAAAACAAATCCCATGCATATTTGTGCGCACACACACACACATATATATATGTCCATAGTTCCAGTTTAAAAATGTGTTTTTCTGGAGTTTAATTCTCAAATGCCACACTCTGAAAGCATTTGCTGTGTTTTGTTTCAGAGTCGACAGATGAGTCTGAAGCAGATAAGATCCATTGTCTGAATAACAGCGTTTCCTCAGGCACTTACTCAGACTATTCCCCTTCCCAGGCTTCCTCAGGGTCCTCCAATGCGCACGTTAAAATGGGCTCCTTGCAGACAACGGCTAAAGAAGCAGTGAATAACTCTCTGTGGGGGAACAGGTGTGACCATCTTTCTTAGCACAGCTTCTGGTGGCATTTTATCTTTTCATACGCACTCAAAGTGACTGTATCTTCCCCCAGAGGGTGGTCGGGCACTGAACAGGCTCCCCAGGGCAGTGGTCACAGCACCAAGGCTGACAGAGCTCAAGGAGCATTTGGATGATATTCTAGGGCATGTGGTGTGACTCTTGGGGATGGGCCTGTGCAGGTCAGGGGTTGGACTCGATGATCCTGATGGGTCCCTTCCAACTCAGCATATTTTGTGATTCTTTATTGATCTGTTAAGGCATTTGGTTTAAAAAGTCCACATTTTTTCCCATTTGTGTGTAGCTGATCACAGCCCAGGCTGTGCAGAGCTGGCCATCCATCCATACTCTATAAACACCAGTAATTCTATAGCTGGTGGGTCAATTCTGGGCTATAACCAGGCATTAAAGCTCCTGGAGGCTGGCTGCAGTCTTTGTCCCATTATTGCTGTCCCAGCCTCCCTCTGCCCTGGATTCCAAGAACAACATGGAAACTTTTCTTGGAAAGCTCTAATGAGCCATCAGCAGCCTGAGAACACCCTTGTACCACACCAGGAACACCCTGTCCTGTCTGTCCCTCCCATAAATCACTTCATGTGATTCCATCCACAGGCTCTGTCCTGTTAAAGAGAGGCTCAGCCTGCTCAGGGGAGATGCATAAAATCTTGGTGGTGAGAACACAGACAAACTACATCTGGTATCTTTGTTTAAAAATAAAGTAATGTAAGTGTGAAAAACCTTCTGTTTCACTCACAGATTATTTTTACAGCAGGTAAATATGTTCAGCTGGATTTCTGTGAACACGGCATGGAGCCAGCCGGGCCTGTCACTGACTTCTTAGTTTCTCCATGTGTGTACTGACACAATCTGTGCTCCAGGGCAAAAAGCTGCTTACACCTTTGTGCCATGCCAGTGGCACGAGGTTCATGTCTCAAAGCACAATCCCAAAGCCAGAGCATAGATGGGAGAGTCCTAAATTGTTTTAAGCTCATAGAGAGCATCCAGAGGAGGGCAACGGACATGGGGAAGGTCCTTGAGGGGAAGCTGTGTGAGGAGCGGCTGGGGGCTGGAGAAGAGGAGACTGAGGGGAGATTTCATTCCAGTTACAGCTTCCTTGGGAGGGGAAGAGGAGGGGCAGGCACTGATCTCTGCTCTGTGGGGACCAGGGACAGGACCCCCCAGGGAATGGCCTGAAGTTGTGTCAGGGCAGGTTTACATTGGATCTCAGAAAAAGGTTCTTCCCGCAGAGGGTGGTTGGGCACTGAACAGGCTCCCCAGGGCAGTGGTCACAGCACCAAGGCTGCCAGAGCTCAAGGAGTGTTTGGATGATCCTCTGGGACACCTGGTGTGACTCTTGGGGATGGTCCTGTGCAGGACTAAGAGTTGGACTGAATGATCCTGATAGGCCCCTTCCAACTCAGCATATTCTGTGACTGTGTGATTCTGCTGTCGTTCTGGTGATGGTTTATGTGCTGCGATAGAGGGCATTTTATCTTGTTCCCTTCTCTCTTGTCTTTGCAGGCTGGCACAGTCGTTCCCGCAGCCCCTGGAGACCAAGCCATTGCTGAGCCAGCGGGAATCGGCTCCAGCCGGGAACCTGCCGGCACGACCGGAACGGCGCCCGCTGAGCGACACGTTCACCGAGGGCTGGACCGACAGTTCCCACTACGACAACACAGGGTTTGTGGCCGAGGAAAGCGCGGTGGAGAACCCCAGCGCCAACCCCCTGCTCACCACCAAATCGAGGAGCTCATCTGCACACGGGCGCAGGCCACTGATCCGACAGGACAGGATAGTTGGCATCCCTCTGGAGCTGGAGCAGCCGACGCTCAGAAACACACATGAATCTGAAGTGCCTCCTCCCAATCCTTGGCAAAATTGGACCAGAACCCCTAGTCCCTTTGAAGACAGGACAGCTTTTCCTTCCAAACTGGAAAGCACCCCCACCACCAGCCCTTTGCCCGAGCGGAAAGATCATGTCAAAGAGTCTCCTGAAATGACAAGTACTTTCCCTCCAGGAATAGCATGGGAATATCACGACTCAAACGCTAACAGAAGCCTCACAAATGTCTTTTCCCATATTCACTGTCGCCCAGATCCTTCCAAAAACGTCATTTCCATCAGCAAGAGCACAGAGCGGCTTTCCCCAATGATGAGGGATTTAAAAACGAACAAGTTTAAGAAGTCTCAGAGTATCGATGAGATAGACATTGGTACATACAAGGTGTACAACATCCCCCTAGAAAACTATGCATCCGGGAATGATACTGTAGGGCCTCACGAGAGGGTGGACAAACTGCTGGGCCCAGAGCATGGCATGCTGAGCATGTCCCGCAGCCAGTCTGTGCCCATGCTGGACGACGAGCTGCTGACCTACGGCAGCGTCAAGGTGCAGCCGCAGCAGAAATCGTCTGTCACCAAGAAAGTCTACCAGTTTGACCAAAGCTTCAACCCCCAGGGTGCTGTGGAGGTCACGGCCGACAAGAGACTCCTGCCGCCCTTCCAGCTCAACCCCGAATACATCCCCCAGCCACCCAAAAACCTGCCCCAGGAGCTGGTGAGCCCGCGGGGGTACCGCGGGTATGCACCCGTGGAGCCCATGTTCTCCTTCTCGCAGCCCTCAGTGAGCGAGGAGCCTGTGGGGCCCCCCTTTGGCAGCCAGGGCACACGGCCAGGCTTCCTGCGCAGGGCGGATTCCCTGGTCAGCTCCACCGAGATGTCCATGTTCCGCAGGGTCAGTGAGCCCCAGGAGCTGCCCCCGGGCGACAGGTACGGCCGGGCCCCGTTCCGCGGGGCGGCCGAGCGCCAGAGCGGCATGGCCGTGCCCGAGGCACAGTTCCTCAAGCGCAACGGGCGCTACGAAGACGAGCTCCCTTCCTACCAGGAGGTGAAAGCCCAGACTGGGAGCTTCCCAGTTAAAAACCTCACGCAAAGGAGGCCCTTGTCCGCACGAAGCTACAGTACAGAGAGCTACGGCACATCCCAAACCCGGCCCGTCTCAGCGAGGCCGACAATGGCAGCGCTGCTGGAAAAGATTCCGTCAGACTATAACTTGGGTAACTATGGCGACAAGCCTTCCGATAACAGTGATATAAAGCCAAGGCCTCCCCCTGGGAAGGGAAATGAGAGCTGTGCTAAAATGCCCGCTGACTGGAGACAACAGCTACTTAGACATATAGAAGCTAGAAGGTTAGACAGGGTATGTTTGGCATTTCTCTGCAATTAATGCCTTTAGTTGTGTGTTTCGGTATGTCAAACTATTTGCACGTGCAGTGGTGACCACCAGAATTCCCAGTAATGCAATGCAATTCCTGCCTTGTTGTCAGAGGAGCTGGCCTGCGAAGGGCCCTAGGGGTGCTCAGCTGGAGTGAGGAGTCCCAGGTAAACCCAGAGGCTCCACTCTGGTCACTGAGGTGGTGGCTCCTGCAGCACTCCCCAAAATGATAAAAGCCCATAAGACTTTGTCCTGCTTGTGGATGTGGATGTGCTGCTGGAGCCCACCACGTCAGGCACAATTGGGAGCTGTGGGCACATCTTGACAGTAAAAGTGAATAGAGAAAAACATCGCTGAAAATAAGTAAAATAATGTATTTTAGCTTTCGTATCACTGTTAGAGAGGGTTTAAAGGTGTCTCGACTGAGAAATAGCACTGAGCACCCATTGCCACTGTTTTGAATGAGGAATGTGATCATTACTCCTTTTAGCTGTAGGAAGTTGTGCTGATTTGCCTTCTATTCGAAGAGTACAAGTCCTTTAGTGCATGATTTCAGTCATTACCTATTTAATGACCTACTTCATGAATCGCATTTACTTCATGATCTGAAGTGGTTGTGAAAAATTACTGTCATGAAATGCGTAAGAAGGTAGTTGCCAAATGTGTCCATTTACCTACTTTATGCCAGAGCCTCCTGAGTTTGGTGTTACTACACTCCTCACCTCCCAGTTTCTCTGATGTGAGAACTTATTAAAATATCATTAGGGCCCAGTGGGTTAAATTTTAAAACGGGCTCAAAGGCTGAAGTGTTTTCTTCCTTCAGCTCTTTTCCTTGTGCTGTGTAAAACCAATTGGAAAATACTCCCCAGGGAAACCAGTGCACCCCGAGTGAGCCATTTCTGGTGGAAATAAACACTTCCCAGATGATGATTTGTTTAAGAAATATCTTCATGCTTAAGTTACAATGTGTATCAAGGAATACCTGAACTCACGGAAAGCTGACACTGGTGATTCTGCTGAGTTGGCAGCAATCCCTGTGAGCTGGTTACTGCTGGTTACAAAACTCTCAGGAGTTGAGCTGCCTGGTGGAGGGGTTTGCTGGTGAGAAGCCCTGGGCATTCCTATGGAGCAGCTGCTCCAGGAGAAGCTGCTGCCTGTCGGGTCTGTGCAGGACTGTGGCAGTGGGCAGGGAGCAGGTGCTCCTGGGAGGGAGCAGAGCCTTCTCCCCCGGGGTTTGCTCCTTGGTGCCAGACACATCTCTGGCCTATCTGTGGTTGTGCAGCCGAGCCTAAATTTGGCCATATTTGCAAAATAAAGACTTGTACCATGTGATACAACTCCAGATACCAACACACCTCATCTGCTGTCAGCGTGGAAGTCGTTTCTGGTATCCATTTTATGTACAATGAGCAATGTACTTGCTTTGTGTGACCCAGTGCATGCCCCGGGGAGCTATTGATCTCTTGGGACTGTTTGTTTGCTTAAACTAAAACTCTGTGAACTTAACCATATATGTGTGATACTTAATTCGATGAGCATGTGTGTTCATATCTGTCACGTGGTTGTTTCCTCTACTCAGACCGCTGCTTACAAACACCACACAGTTAGCCTTGGCATGCTGCACTCTGGAGGGGTTTCAGCAATGCATGCCGGCCGAAGCATGACTTTAAACTTGCAGACTAAATCTAAATTTGAAAACCAAATGCTTCAAGAGCTACCTCTACCGAAAGTAAGTATGGGCTAGCCAGCATCACTGGCATTCCCAATAAATTAACTCCTTGCTTCCTCCTGGTTTAGCTTTTGCCTACTACTCATGCTTATACAGACCCAATCCAAAAAGCAAGGGTGGCAGTGGTACAGTTTTTCTCCTGAGTGGTCTTGCTTTTTGGATTCTGGGTTTCCCGTGGCTGTCATTCCTGCTTCCTGCTCTCGTCCTCCAGACCGGTGCCATCATTTTCTCAGTCTGTGAAGAGAAATGGGGAATGTGCTTTGCTCTTGGACTGTTTGAGCTTAAAAAAAAAGATGGTAGAAATATTGAATATGCATTTAAATAGGCTCCAGGAGAAAAGGATTTTAATATTTGAGCATTAACTGGCTCTGCCATAGTAGCTGATGAGGTTTGAGCACACCTACCACACCCAAACCCATTTTAAACTTTGGTTGAGTAACACCTATAGAAAGAGAATAACCTCATTTTTTACTATTTTACATCTATTCTTATATATTGCTGACAAGTACAGACATAGAAGACCGTCCCAAACAAATGTTTGAATGGAAAAGCACGCAGGACAAGCCAGAGAGGGACATTGCTGCAGGATTTGCAGTGTCAAAGAGGAGATCCTGAGACCTGTGCATCCATGTGGCCACACTCCCAGGGTCAGGGAAATGTAGGAGGGACAGGCCTCACTCGGCCTCTCCCTGCTTTGGCAGCAGGAGCTGTTGGGACACATTAGCAGCATCTCTGAGTAATTAAAGGGCTGCAGAACACAGATCCAGGCACTGCCATGGGATCAGCTGTGCTGGTGATTGCCGGGCTGGCCTCCAGCACCTCTGGCACTTACTCAGGCAGGACCAGCCCTGGCCAGAGATTCCCACAGGAGGCTTCCAAGGCCCCATTTCAGAGCTTAGATCCAAAGCTGGTAAGAAGAATAGGGTGATATAATGGCAGTAGCATGAGCAGGTTGTGTGGGTTGGACAGACCTCGGCTCTGCTCAGCTCCCTGATGTGGCACGAACTCTGTGCTGGAGTTTTGGGCAGAGCTGAGACAGGATAACATCACACATGGATCAGTGTCAGGCTTTTCCTGCTGGGACTGACTCTCCATACACTGTCACCTCCATCCCCCATGCCATCAGCTGTCCCTAGGTTCCCTCACCCTGCTCTCTGTGCTTCTCTGTTGTTGGGTGGGTGGCACCGAGAGGCCCCCCAGAGGTGTGTGTTGGCCACGGGTGACATTCCAGTGTTGTCTCTGCTTCCAAAGAACCTGTTTGTCTCCTTGAGTACATGCCAGGTCTTGTCACGAGTCCTTGGAAAAATCCATTTTCCATCAACCCCAAGTAACAGTGCTGGTTTGCTATACACATCAGGAATACAGTGTTTTATGGTACTTCCAGGATTTGAGGCTGTAAATGAATATGGATATTAATGGATGGATGTCTGAGGAACTAATGAATCTATTCAGAGTGATATGTTTTGGGGTGTGCTCTGATGTGGATTATTCTGCTTTCTATTCCACCAGCGTTTCACTGCTCCATACCCATATAAACTGTGATGCCGAACTGCATTAGGGGCTTATTCTTTTATTGTACTGTTTGGGAAGCAGGGGAAAATTATTGTTGAATGAATATTGTGTATATTTAGTATGGTTTAATTCTATTCCTTCATATGTTCTAAAGGATTTGCATTTCTTGATGAATCCAGGCCACAGCAGTTTAATGTTTGTCTGCTTCTCCTCCCTCCTTCTCCTCCCTCCTCCCCCGTGGCCTGGATTCAAGAGAGTAATGAGTGAGGTCTGGTTGTCCAGTAGATGGCCAGGAAATCAAGTTTACCAGTAACTTATTTTCAGAATGTTTATTGCATTGATTCTGCTCACTGTAGAAAATGCTTGAACTGCTGCTTTTCATTGTTTACCCAGATTTAATAGGTGTGGGTTTGCTTTCAGTCTGTCCAAGCTCAGAAAATGAGCAGTACTGCAAGGGACCGAATTAATTTTGCTGCAGAAAATGAAACCACAGAATTTTCCTGCTTATTGAGAAAGCAGAAAATGCCCTCTGTATTTTTGCTTTATAATGAAAGTTTTCTTTCATTTTAAATCAGAGTTGAAATTTTTTTTATTTAGCCACTGAGATGTGTGATTAAATCACAATTTACTTCTATTTACTTTTAAACTTCTGTTAAAAAATAGTTTTTAATTGACAAGTTCCCAGCTTTCGTGTTTCAAAGCAAATGCAATTCTTCAGCCATCTGAAGAAGTGTATCCTGATTTTTTTTTAACCTAAGCTGGAGAAGAATTTGCTTGAATGACAGAGGGGAAAAATAGCTATTTTTTGTTTCTTTGTAGATTATCATTGATCAGAACTCAATTAGCACCACATCATTCAGGTGCTATCAGTGGTAGCACAATGTTGGAGTTTTGGAAAGTCTGACCCCCATGTTGGGAAAATTTCCAGTGATGGTAGAGAAATAGAGGGACAGATAACAGAAAATCAAGATGGGACAAAAAAAGCACAGATGCCCTCCAAAGTCCTAAAAACAGGAGTAAAATAACCAGAGGGATAAAGGACAAAGAAGAAATATTTATAACAGGAGAGAAAAGGGAAAGATAATAATATTTAGGAAATATTAAATTTGTGTTATGGCCATTTAGATTAAAAAAGAAACCATTTAATTACAGGTTAATATTGTGCATATATCTGTTGGCTTAACATAAGCCAGGCCCATCCTAGAGAGGTCTGGGAGCCTCAGATGGAGCTGAGTGAGGGGGACAAGGAGTCACAACTTCACCTTTGCCATCAGGGAATGTTTTCTGCAGAAAATAAAAGCATCAAATTTGTATTGGTGGCAAATACTTCGTAAAAAAAGCCTTTGCTGCTTGAATGAGCAGCAAGAAAGTTCTAACTCACTGGTAATGGCAGACTGCACATTGAAATGTGGGATTTCAACCAAATTTGTTTCTCTGAGTCATGTTAAATGAATTTTATCTTTTCTCTCATCATTCATTATTCTCATGATTCCTCTCCTATGCCTTTCAAGCCCTCCTGCTTTCAGAGGGTCCCCCAGCAATGTGGTCACATGTTAATGAAATACTGGGGGAATTAGGAGGATTTCTGTTGTAGCAATAGCGCGGTGCAGTTTATTTAACTGGGTTAGTGACTGAACTGAAGCTGAGGAGGGGTTGTTTGGTGACTAAAGGCTGCCCTACATTTGTGCAACAGACCCCGTCGCAGCAGAGCAGCATCCTGGACAACGGGCAGGACGAGGTGTCCATGGGCAGCCAGTGGAACCCGTACCCGCTGGGGCGGCGGGACGTGCCCCCCGACACTGTCACCAAGAAGGTAAGGAAGGGATCCTGGAGTGGATCCTGCTCCCAGCACCTCTCCAAGGAGGAGAGAAGGTGTATGAGGACACCCCTGGTTTTGTTTCAAGGCTTAAAGCAATAATTGTTGGGAATTCAGGGCATGTTTTGCCCGTTTTTGTGTCGTTTGTGTGGTTCCATCTCTGGTGTGTGCAGTGGGCACAGAGGGCTGGGCAAGTGTGTTCCTGTCCCTTGGCCTGCAGAGTCTCATCAAATGTTTCATTTCAATGACAATCATAACAAATGACGTGTTGGGATGGTGCCAGCCCAGCTCTGGACAGGCACAGCCATTTCATTGATAAACTCACCAGAAATGGTCTAATTTCTGGTACCTTGTGGTGGATGTTGAATTCCAGTAATTGGAGCTGAGCTGGTCATGTGCAAACATTGGCTGCTCCCTCCCAGCCCCAGCTTGGCTCATCCACTCAGGAACTGCTGGGTTTGGCTGCTCTAATTGCAAAGCTGGAGAATGGAGGGTCCTGACAAACTCAGCTGTGTTTGGAGTCGGTGTTGGGAGGTGGAGCTGCACATGGGATAATTACAGTGGTTGTTGTCTACATAGAGATCCAACCAGCTCATCCCTGGAGTGAAGTCCTAGGGGTGAATAACACCAGTGAAGGTCATGGTGTGTACACTGCTAACTGCTGTGTGATTAACTCTCAGCTGATGAGGAAGGACCTCCTTTCACAGCTTTTATCCAAGGCAGTGGCAGAAGCAGCAACCCTTGGCTTCACAGAGAGGTGCAACCACAGGTCCATGTGTACAGGAGGATTGCTGGAAGATGGGAGATGGAAATTGCACCTCCCAGGCCCAAGAGGAGGAGGAAGAGGAGGAGGAGGGGGTGCCACGACGGGATGTGGTGGAGTTGGCTCTGACAGCCAAGTTATTTATCATCTGATATGCAAGAAATGAGGATGAGAAATGTAAGACAAGCCATTTCTTGTCTTCACTGGCATTTTGGGATAAAACCTGTGTTGGTCCATTCCCAGTCGGACACTGTTGTTGTCTTACATTTGTGCACCATCAGTGCACAGTCAGTGCTGTAACAGTTCGCCATCAACAGAGCACCATCAGGACTGTAATAAATTCAACTGCAGATTCTCTTTTGTTCTGAATATTTCAGTATCTGGCTGCTCCCATGGGATAAGTACAAACATTGCTTCACTCAGCAGATCTGTCATTACACCCACTGCCAGCTACTCCAACTATACCGTAAATATTGGACACCGAGCTGAAAATAATTAACTTTTGTGCTGGATGATAAGTAAAGAATACAGATGAAATTGGGGAAGCAGGCTGCATAATAGAGATCTTTTCTGCAGAAGAAATAATTTCCATTTCCATGAGAAGCAGCTTATCCCCCTCCAGAAGAGCCATGGTGTGAATCCACAAGCAGGAGTGATAACAATCTCCTCAAAGTCTATTAACAGCAGAGAGAAAATGAATTCTGAGAGCTGTTTACTCACCTTCCTCGGGAGGGATTTGTAATGTGCTGGTGTGACAACACTCATCTCTCCAAGCAAAGTCACCTCCAATGTCTTGGTTTTCCAGCATCTGGGGATTAAAATCCAGCAACTATTTGAAGTCGTTCAGAAACTCTTCTATAGAATTGAAGTTCAACATAGCAAACAACTAAATGTGCAAATATAAATTGTAAGATCTTTTGGTTTTCCACTAACTGGGCTCCTGCAGAGCTGAGTCACTGTGTGGTAGAGCTGTGCTTGGGAAATCGTGGTAAGAAGAGTTGAGAGTTGTTTTTCCAAGGGGAAGGGTGTTTGTGGCAGATGGATGGACTGTGTACTTATGCTGATGTAGAATCATGGGATCATTTAGTTTAGAAAAGATCTCCAAGATCATTGAGTCCAGTCATTAACTGGTATCTATCTAACTGTGTATAGACACTAATACACATTCCCAAATTTCCCCCACACAGACCTACTCTGTGTGTAGTGATGGCTGTTTGTGTCAGTGAGCTGGGAATGCTGCACAGGCATCACTACTTCATTAGCTGGGCTGTGGGTGGTTGTTTCCATCCTTCTTGCTGTTCATAATGCAGATTAAATGCCCATTTTACCTCAAGTCCATAATTTATGGGCTAGTTCTCCTATGGCAAAATTGGATGTTTTAATCTCCCAATTGAATAATCCACTGATTTATTAAAAGACCGTTAAAAGCCTGCAGTATTTAGGCTTCCTGGAAAATTACTTTTACTGTTGTGTCCACAAGACAGAAACACAAGACAGGAGCCATCCTTCCTTGGCTGGTATTAGCAAAAGACCAAGTTGATGTAAATGCAGTATTTAACTTTTCTCTACCAAATATTGGAGCTTCAAACCAGCAGATGTTGTCACAGAAATGTTATCACAGGAATTTGATTGGTTACATTTGGTAAAAGCCACGTTTGGTCACAGGACAAGGCACAGGTTTTAAATGCTGGTGCTCTCCATACCCAGAGCATAACCTTGGTCAGTGTGTGTGTCTGTGTTACAAATCTTATTCCAAATTATCCTCAGATAAACCAAACATTCCAGTATCTTCACAGTGGGCTGTGATAAATTTTTCACCCTCCTTTGATTTATTAAATGTTTTCAGTTCACAAAACACCCTGAGCAGAAATGTGGACGTGACATGAGGAGAAAAATACTTTATGTTTATCAAATGGTTGATTCTCCCCAAACTTCCCAGGTCCCCGGTGCCATGGGCATGTCCCTGCTGCTTTTAATCCTGGTTTTCCCAGCTGTGCTCCAAAGGCAAACCTCTGCTGGGGCTCAGGTTTGCTTGGCCCCAACTGTGAGTTTAATAATCATTTCCTTTCAGCCTCCTGCCTTTGTGGCTTAACGGGTTGCATTGCCCACAGACAGGTAGCCACATCCAGACCCTCATGGGATCCCAGAGCCTGCAGCACCGGAGCCGGGAGCAGCCCTACGAGGGGAGCATGAACAAGGTCACCATCCAGCAGTACCAGCCACCCCTGCCCATCCAGATCCCGGCAGCCCAGAGCTCCCGAGCCCCCCAGACCGGGCGGTGCCTCATCCAGACCAAGGGCCAGCGGAGCAGCGACGCCTACCAGGAGCAGGTGAGAGGGGCTGCACTGCAGCTTCAGGACAGAGATGTTCCTGTGTTTTCCAAGGTGCCCATGGGACAAGGGAGCCTTGGGCAGGAATGGGGCAGCTGAGCTGGGCAGCCCAGGGAGCTCTGGTTGATCTGGGAGAGCACTGGTTGTACTGGGGGAACTCTGGATGGACTGGGGGAGCTCTGGTTGGACTGGGGGAGCTCTGGTTGGGCTGGAGGCAGGCTGGATCCATCCCCTTCCCCAGCACCAGCCATCAATACCCATTTTCTCTTGGACTGATCAAGTAACACTGTTTGCCATTGAAGTCCCTGAGCAGAACTGGCATCACAGGGTCACACTGAATTAATTTGCAGCTTCTGCCTGTTCCCCAGTAACCCAGTTCAGTGTCAACAGGGCAGGTTATTTTATAATATGCTAATCTGCTCTGATCTGCCTAGTGAAAGGCCATCTGCAGCCCCAGTGCTCCCAGCACTGGGGATTTCCTTCATTAAGTGGTCCTGTCCTCATTATATTTGGCCTTAATGACTGAAATACCTGTTTGGGGCCCCTGACTTTGCTGAATGAGGTGCAGAACAATCAGTAAACCTTTCTCTTGTGTAAAGTGCTGGTCAAGCCACATGAGCAGCTCCCTGTATTACATCCCTGATGTTCAGAACCAGTTGCTGGTGTGGCTTGAGGATGTGCTAAGCCCAGCTCAGTGCACAGTCATTAAGCTCCTCTGAAGTAATTTTTATTTTATATTCAATGACCCAATGCTATTTAGAGTCATCCTGACTAAAAGAGAAGGTTCAGCACTGTCTCCTGGGGTAGAAGTGGATGGTGTTCAGTGCAGGTTGTGGGCCTGTGCCCTGACCTGGCAATGCTCTGAAGATCCCTGAGCTTTGAGTATTTATCCCTTGCTTTGTCCGAGGGGTCCTGCACATGTGACTCCTTCTGGAAAAATAAAATTGCACAGATTAAGCCTCACTGACAGGTTTATCCCAACGTTTAAGTGAAAAATTTGGCCAATGTGAACATCTCACAGGTCTAAAGGGTTTTTTTCCTCCTTGAAAACGAAACTTTAAAATCCATGCAAAAATCTATGAACGATAGGGAATATTATGGTATCGCTGTGTGCTAAAATCATGCCAGTACTTCCAGTTCATAGCAATGTTTCATGGACTTTCCCCACGTTGTGCAGTGCAGGGCTCATCTCATCCTGCTGATGGTGAACGGGATGTGTGGGAAGAAGGATGCTGTGGTTTAGGAAGGGTTTAATGTTGGCATCCACTTACCCTGCCCTGTCTTTCTAACCTAGTTTTGTGTGAGGATAGAGAAGAATCCTGGCCTGGGGTTTAGTATCAGTGGTGGAATAAGTGGACAAGGAAATCCATTCAAACCTTCCGATAAGGTACGTTGGGAATTTCTCTCTGCCTGGTCCTTATTTTAGAGTGGAGACGTGGAGAACATGAGTGAGATGTTTATGGAGATGTGGAGAATATGAGTGAGATGTTTATGTCCTTCTGTTGTGATTATTGAAAGGCTTTTCCCCACACTTGGCTTTTTTTTTGTTTTATTTTGTTTGGGGGTTTTTTTGTGCGTTGTTTGCTTGCTTTTCCCAGTTAATGAAAATGAGAGAATCAAACATCAATCCCATGGGTGTCTGCCTCATATTCCATGTCTAAGAATTTTTCAGGCTGTTTTCTGGGGAATTGTCTCTCTCACTTTTAAGAGTCACTTTTGGCCCTGATTTAAACTTTTAACTAAATTAACACCAAACCAGCGTACCAGTAGCTGGAATGCCAGGATTTGTAGCTGCTGTGTCAAATAAAACCAACCTGGCCTGTAAACTGGAGAGCACTGGATCCTTACAGACCCCATGGCACCAGTTATCTTCTGCACTGGGAATTAAGAATGTCCCCATGAGGAACACGGTGGTCAGGGAGACTCAGGATTCATTCTGGGAATTGCAAGTCTAAGATAGGTCTCTGTGTGATAAAAGGAAGCCTAGAAAAACTCCACCACCTGGTGATTCCCAGCTCCAGGGGCTGCAGGATTAGGAAATGGACTTTTAGACCTGTGAATTTGTCTGTTTGGTGCAATAAAACTGAGTGGAGTTTGTTGGAAAATGAGCACTTTGGGCACCTCTCTGTTGAACACGTTCCTAGAGTTGATGTCCTTTGATAATACTGGATTCTGTTTGCAGAGACAGTCAGAACTTCCATAAGTGTGGAGAATGTTTTGCAAATGATGAAGTTTCTTAAAACTCTCTTTTCATCTCTTTTCAAAACTTTGAGATCTGCCTGCAAATTAAAGAAATCAATTCCCCACCTTTCTGAATTACAACAGAAAACTGACTGGGAATGTAAAATAGGCTTGGAAATACCAACCTGACACAGCCTGAATTCCTGGTCGAAGGAAGGTGTCCTTGCCCATTGCAGGGGGTGGAACAAGAGGGCTTTTAAGATCCCTCCCAACCCAAACCAGTCTGGGATTCTGGGATTGATAATCCTTGTTTTGAACTTCCAGAGTAGTTCCATGTAATGTACATAAAACTCAGGAATTTTAACTACTGTCCTTTAAAACGTTCTCATTTTGGGTGTCCTTGGAGACTTCACTCTGGAATTACACTTTATAACATCAGGGCCTGGTTTTGCACAGTTGAAGGTGGGATGGTAGAATTAAGCTGGACTTTCCTGGCTGTCACTTGGCTGAAGTGACTGAAGGAGAGTCCCTGTTCCACTCTGAATGTGTCTGGAGCAGGGCAGGAACAGCTAGAGATAGAACTGGTTTTCCCACTCACAGGAATGCAACTCAGGGAGTGATGGGAGGAGAATTAATAGTTAAAGGGTTTTTCTGTGTTGTTACTCGGAACCATCACTTCCCACACTGTGATACCAGATTTGTCATATTTTAAATGAAATGCTGATGTCACTGGGATGAGAGGACAGGAGAAGCCACGGAGAAGCCACCATTCCTTTGGCACAGCAGAACCCTGCCACAAGTTCATGGCACAGGGATGAGGTTTCAGCAGCCCATGGCTCTGCTCCCAAGGAGCTCGTGTTTCATACTGGGAATATGGGGCAGGGCCTTGCTCAGGAGACTGTAAAATCCCTCAGAGATGCACATGATGGTGGTGCCAAGCAGGGATTTCCCTGGTGTCCCTGGGAGCAATGGGAATGTTCACATTTAGTCTTGGATTCCTGTTGGAGCAGGGAGAGCACAGAACTGAGGGGCCAGGGCTGATGAGCTGTGTGGGAGTTTAATGTGCTCATCAGCTGGAACCAAGCTTTGATTTGGGGGTTTATTAACAGATTTTACAGAAATTCTGAAAACAAATCTACAACTATCCTTTATTTTTAATAACTTTTCCTCTTTTAAAGCCTTTTCACTGCTCAGACACCGGATTAAAGGTCTGTCCCACAGCCTGTGGAACTGAAGATCTCAAGGGCTGAATAATCAACTGCTTTCTAGACATTTTTTAAGCTTTTTTCTTTCATAGAGGAAGCAAACAAAGGTTACCATGTAGATTATGGTACAGATTATTCTAATAAATTAATGCTTGCTCCATTTTAATTACCCTTCTGATAACCCTGCCACTCTATTCATATTGGACAATATTTTGTGAGGTGGAATCTTAGTTAAAAATGACCCACTATTATATTTATTGGGTGAAGTAGATGAAGCTGCTAGAACCCCAGCCTAGTGTTTGATTACAAACAGATTAAAATGGAGTTTGGTGTTTAGCCCAAGTCTACAAAGCCCCCAGATCCCAGTTAGGGACGCACCTGTATTTTGGGCTGTAGGTCTCGGAGATGGCATCCTAACCTGTGTTACTTTGACTTATAGGGTATCTTTGTTACTAGGGTTCAGCCTGACGGCCCCGCGTCCAGCCTGCTCCAGCCCGGGGACAAGATCCTGCAGGTACAGGGGGAGGGACTGCTGGGGGGCTGAGGGCAGCTCAGAAATGCAGTGGTGCTGGTGCAGGCCTGAAATTGTGTCAGGGCAAGTTCAGGTTGGATCTCAGGAAAAGGTTCTTCCCCCAAAGGGTGGCTGGGCACTGAACAGGCTCCCCAGGGCAGTGGTCACAGCACCAAGGCTGCCAGAGCTCCAGGAGTGTTCACATGATCCTCTGGAGCACGTGGTGTGACTCTTGGGGATGGTCCTGTGCAGGGCTGAGGGTTGGACTCGATGGTCCTCATTGGTCCCTTCCAACTCAGGATATTCTGTGATTCTGTGAGTTAACTGACAGTTCTGTTATTATATAAACTATTATATATAGTTTAATATTGATTTATAGCAGAGTTACTTGCAGAACTTTTTGTCCAGGTGGCCAAGAAGGCCAGTGACACCTGGTTTGTATCAAAAATAGTGTGGCCACAGCCCCAGAGCACTGATGTCCCCCTGCACTGGGCACTGCTGAGGTACCTCCAGTCCTGGGGTCAGTTCTGGGCCCCTCAGACAAGAGACACATTGAGGGACTGGGGCATGTCCAGAGAAGGGAATGGAGCTGGGGAAGGGTCTGGAGCATCAGGAGCAGCTGAAGGAGCTGGGGGGGCTCAGCCTGGGAAGGAGGCTCAGGGGGGACCTGGAGCAGGTGTGGCCATGGGGCCTGATCCCCCTCCTGAACTGTGTCCATTATCCTGGAGAATGGTGGATCTTCTACTTGGGCCTATTAAGCACAGTCAGTGAACTGTGGGTAATTATGTTTAACATTTGACTTTTGAAATAATTTTGGAACAGACGAGAGAGATTATTATAGTGAGATTTAATTGACAGAACAGCTTATAAATACTTCCCTCTTTATCTCTGTATCCAAACGGAGCCCATCCTGCCCATGCATGCAGCACGGCACCTGGAATATGGAAACCTTACATCCCAGAGTTATACTTCCTCAGGAAACACACAAACTATCCCAGAGTCACAGGATCATTTCAGTGGGAATGAAGTATTCACTGGAGCCTCCAGTCCAGCCCCTGCTCGAAGTCAACGGAGGGCGAGAGAAACGTGTGCTCAGTGTTTGTGGGATCCTCATGTGTTCATTATTTATTTTAGCTTTTCATTTCCATCCACCCCTTTGTTCCCCCAAAATGAAGCCACTATAGAGCTTTTTCCTGTGTTTGTCCCTGTTGCAGGCCAATGGACACAGCTTTGTACATATGGAACACGAGAAGGCTGTGCTTCTACTGAAGAGTTTCCAGAACACGGTAGACCTTGTTATTCAACGTGAGCTTACTGTCTAAATATTTTTTTATAAATAGTAAATATGTCTAGCCAGATCTAATGTTCAAACAGATTTATACATAGGAAACCAATTTTTTGCCAATTGCTGGACCAATGGCAAACAGTAGTGCCAAATGTATAATACTCTATGTTAGTACCAATCATCGGGAAAAATATATTAACTATATAAATATATTGTTCATGTGGCTCCGTATTAGTTTTACTTGTCAGCCTCTGGCTGTGCATTGGTGCGTTTTTTTAATCAAGTTACTTCTTAAAGTCGATTTCATATGATTTCAGAACACAGAAGCACATACAAATCCTTTAGGAATTCTGCTGTCCATCAGAAACACTGCCTCAGAGTTGTATATGCCTTTATAAAGATGAACTATATTAACCTGTACTTCCCATGAAATATTTCTATCATGTCACATACAAAAGTATAGAGAAAAAAATATTTTCATAAACACCTCAAAGAAAGTATATATTAAATTAAATTTAATAATGTTCATTTATTTTCAATGCAAAGATATTCTATGCCTTATGAAAATACCTGTACATATGCCGTGTGTATAGTTGGCTCCGTAGGGATCAGGAACAATTCATATACAGGGTGAGAGACTTCTGAAATTGAACTCTGGGACCTCGGTACAAAAACCCACATGGAAATGGGTGAACTTCCTTTGGAATGGGTTAAAACTTCCTTTAGGATGTGTTAACTTCCTTTGGAATGGGCCAGGTTGGATGGACCTTGGAGCGACCTGGTCTAATGGAAGGTGTCTCTGCCCATGGCAGGGGATGGAATGGGATGAGCTCTAAGGTCCCTTCCAAGCCAAACCATTCTATGATTCTATGATTCTGACTTCCTTTGGAATGGGTTAATCCCTTTGGTTTGGCACTTCCCATGGATTCCATGTGCACACACTACAGGAGAACCCCGAGGACAGGCAGGTTTGGCGCACAGATGGAGGAAGGTTGTGATGGTGGCAGTAAAACTTCTTTTGTTGCTGCTAATTTTATTATTTCACTTTTTTAATTTCCAATTCGAGGCCCTTTACTCACATCCCCCATTCCCATGGACATTGTTGTGTATCTTCACTGGCTCCAGGCTGGGCCGGGCCCTGCTTGGGATATTCCCATCGGGAAGGATTTATGTGATCCTTGATTTGATCAGGAGTCCTTTACAGGGAATGGGAGCAGGTTTGAGAGCTGACACATCCCAGGGAGCAGCAGGTGACACTGAGTGACAGCAAGCCAGCCTGGGAGGAGCGTTCCCAGCTCAGGGCACAGTGTGACAACCTCTCAGGTCCAAGTCCTGGTGCTGCTCCCAACAGAGTCCTGACAGCTGCTGGTGGTTCAGGGCTCCAGCATGGTTATACCCGATAGCAAGATGGAAAAACACAGGGAAACCTCCCTTCAGGTATTTTCAGGGGATCCCATTTCCCTGAGAAAGGGCTGAGGGAGAGCTGGCACCGGGCTTGTCTGTGGCTGGGCTCATTCCCACCCAAAAATCCCACGTCCAAGGGTGCAGTCACAGCCCACAGACACAGCCAGGAATATTCCACTTCGCTGCCTCCAAGAGCCACTAGGAATTCCTAAACCTTCCTTCCCTGGCTGTGGTACCTTTTGGAGCTTTGCTGGGAGCAGAGGGACAGAGCTGACCCCTGGAGAGCTGAGGGGTCCCCCTACACAGGGGGTCCTGCACAGGGCGATGGTGGGGGAGGAAAAAGAAAGCAAAAAAGCTGCTTTCAGAATGCTTTTTAAAATTTTTTTGAGGAAAAAGTCCAGCCCAGACCCCAGGAAGCCTCCAAGACCCCCCTTTTCCCAGTGCCAGCTCACAGTTCGTATCCAGGTGATGACAAACTACAGGAGTTATCAGCCAGGTGTTCCAACAGCAACAATTTAACATCTTCAAATCTTGCTTTTTGAGATGTTTTATAACACATCCCCATCTGCATCTGTGTTTGGTGGCAGTGCCAGCCCCTGGGAGGGGACAGGAGATGCCAACTGGGGTGGCTGTGCCCAGCCAGTGGCTCTGAGCAGGGACCAGGCAGGACAATACTGGGGGTGAATGGGGCAGCTGAGAGCAGAGCCAAGGAAATCCAAGGAAAATCCAAGAAAAAAGGAGTATGGAATGTCCAGGATATTGGTTTGCTGCTGTTAGTGAGCACTTGGAGTGTAAAAATGTTGGTTAAAGCCCCTTCCAGTGCCTAAAGGGACTCCAAGAGAGCTGGAGAGGGACTTTGGACAAGAGCCTGGAGGGACGGGACAAGGGGGAATCACTTCTCACTGCCAGAGGGCAGAGTTAGATGGGATGTTGGGGAGAAATTCCTGGCTCCAAGGGTGGTGAGGCCCTGGCACATGTTGCCCAGAGAAGCTGTGGCTGCCCCATCCCTGGAAGTGTCCAAGGCCAGGTTGGACAGGGCTTGGAGCAACCTGGTCTAATGGAAGGTGTCCCTGCCCATGGCAGAGAGTAGGACTGGATGAGCTTTAAGGTCTCTTCCAACCCAAACCAATCTGGGATTCTGTGAAACCTCTCTGCTGTAATATAGCATTAATTACCTTATGCAATCAGAAATGCTTATTTATAGATGTGTATATATCTGATAGGGAGATTTGCAACAGGAAATGCAAACCCTGTATTAAATTACAAAGGCACACATTTGGATCAGCTGAGACAGGCCACAGTGTCAGACCCAGGTCTGTACAGGATCAGTGGGGATCAGGGTGGTTGTTCCTGGGAATTGTCTGTGGCAGGAGAAGGGCCGGAGCCAGGGCTGTGCTGCCCAGTCCAGCTCAGGACATGGGGGGGGTGGTCCATGTCCCCCAGCCAGGCAGACCCTGTCCAACAGGATCAGGGTTGGACATGGGTCACACACAGGCTCAGGAGGTGACAGAGCTGTGGAGTAACCACCCACCTTGGCAGGATTTGGCCATAAACACACAAGAACTTCCACCTCAACACGAGGTAGAACTTCTTTCCATGGAGGGTGGCAGAGCCTGGAATAGCTGCCCAGGGAGGGCATCCCAAATCCACCTGGACACATTCCTCTGTCGCCTGCTCCAGATGACCCTGCCTGGGCAAGGGGTTGGACTGGGTAATCTCCAGAGGTCCCTTCCAACCCCAGCTATCCTGTGATCCTGTGAACTGGTGGGATTTCACAGTTAGAAATCCCACATTGGGGAAGGTGGGAATTCTCTCTGCAGTCCGAGCTCCCTGCCCATGGCTGGCATGGCCCCTCCCTTCTCTCCCTTCCAGACTCCACAATTCCCTTTTGAAGCGCACAAAGCCGTCTGGCCTCATCCCCTCATTCCCAGGCACTCAGGCCCTGGGTCATTCCCTGTGGCCGTGCCGATACAACTTTCCGGGCAGTAGTTTGATGGGATACGGATCCACTGGGGGTTTGGGTGCTTGGGAACAAGGCTGTTGGCACCGTGGGCCACTCCAGGAGCCTGCAGGGCTACCGCCAACCCAATCCCAAAAGGCACCGTTTTCAAATCATGGAATTGAAATTAAAAAAAAAAAAAACAGAAAAACATTTTGCCAATCCCCTTCCTGGATGATTCCAGCCGATTTTGTGGAAGTGACTGAATGACACCATTGCATTGTGTGAGGACCCCCAGCCCTGGCACTCAGGGCCTTTGTCTCTGGGCTGCCTTGGTGGCTCATGTCCCCCCCTCGTGTCCCCTCCTCGTGTCCCCTCCCCGGGCAGGGCACTCGCTCATCACTTCGGTTTTCTACCTGTGAGTACTGTATCCGGTTCAGAACCAACAGCTTCCTTTATTAAAGATTTTACCATTTTATAAAAGACATGTTTAATTATGATGGAGATGGCTGTATTGTAATTAATATTTTGAGATAATTGTGATTTTGAGCTTAAATTATATACAGAAATGGTCATTTTTGTATGTGTTCAAAGATTGCTATATTCCAGATGACTGTACTTTTCAGTTGAATTCCAGTATTCCTGTAAATAAAGCTGAATGAGGAAATATTTACTACTTTATTAACATAGATTGTGAATGTACTTCATGTTTTTTGCAGTATAAAGACTTACTGAACTTGAAAGCTGCTTCATTTTATGTGCAAAAAGGTACTTCAAAAATTCTATTTTAAATCTATTGATTGAGTGCAATCAACTCTCGTCCCTTGGCACATGCAGGTTGTCCCCTCCCCGTGCCCTGTGGGGCCCTGGCCCGTGCGTGTGGTGTTAATGCATTTTGCAGATGCTTCTGTCCATAGGGAGCCCAGGGACTGAACCGCCGCTGTGCAGTATTAGCAGAGCCATTTTCGGCTTTGGTGTACCCAAATTTTTCAGTATTTAAAAAAAAAAAAAGTGTTTTGAATAACATTAAAAAGTCTCTTTATTGTATAAATAATAAAAACGTCACCTTATTGTAATTCTTTTGGGTCATTTCTTTGCTGTCGGGAAGGATGGAAGGTGTGGGAGGGAGAGGAAGGAGTCGTTGTTCCCCGCATCCCACTGGAAGTGGGCCTGGAAAATTGGGCAACTCTCCTTGCTACTGTGGGACATCAGATAAGGAATGGGAGTGATGCAGCTGGTGAAGAAAACTCAGTGTTTACTGCTTTTGGGGACAAATGGTGTATGAAAAGACAAATGTATGGAAACGAGAGGGCTGGGGTTGAGAGCAACAGCAGCTCCGTCATCCAGGGAACTGGATCCACCATCCATCACCCAGAGCTGCCCATGGCCATGGTGGAGCTCCACCAAAGCCCTCTTCGAGCTTAGCACCACACACAGTTACCATCATGTATTTCCCACAGGAAACATCCTGCCCTTCCCTTTCCTGCTCCCCTCCCAGTCCATCTTTCCACACAGGTCAATACTCTGAATTTCCCCACCAGCCTGGGCAGTTCTGGTCCCCTCCAACAGGACCATGGGGAGGTGCAGCTGGGGCTGACGTCCCTCAGCCATCCCTGCTCTGGCTGAAAAGCACTTCTTAAACCTGGAGACCTGAGCAGTTTAGTGTATTTTATGTTCATTCTGGACACATTCAAAACCTGGAAAGTTTAGTGTTGAACTGTATTAAATTTTGCTGTGATCCAGAATCTCGAGCGCTGCATCCTGTTCTGGGCCCTCATGACCAGGACGTTGAGGGGCTGGAGCATGTCCAGGGAAGGGAACAGAGCTGGGGAAGGGTCTGGAGCACCAGGAGTGGCTGAGGGAGCTGGGGGGCCTCAGGCTGGAGAAAAGGAGGCTCAGGGGGGACCTTCTGGCTCTCTGCAACTCCCTGACAGGAGGGTGGAGCCAGGTGGGGGTCAGGCTCTGCTCCCACAGAACAAGACAGGACAAGAGGAAACAGCCTCAAGCTGTGCCAGGGGAGGGTCAGGTTGGACCTCAGGAGGAATTCCTTTCTGGAAAGAATGGTCAGACATTGGAAGGGGCTGCCCAGGGAAGTGGTGGAGTCCCCATCCCCAGAGGTGTCCAAGGAACAACTGGATGTGGCACTCTCTGGGCTGGGTGACAAGGTGGAGATTGGGCACAGGTTGCACTCAATGCACTGGGAGGGCTTTTCCAACCTCAGTGATTCTGGGATTCTGTGATTCTGTTTATTATTAATACCCACACTGCAGCACCGTTATCATTAAGGGCATCACTTTCAGGACATGGAAGCGTGTTTAAACAAGAAAAGTATCTCAGTGTTACTGTCTAGAAAACTTAATTACAGCACATGCTTAAAGAACCCAAGCCAGACATCCAAGGGACACATTTATTATCTCAGTGCAGCTGCCAACACCGGCCACTTTCTTGCCCTCAGGTGAGCCATGCACAAAGCTGGGGGTACTTCTCAGCCTTGGTCACCCCCTCACAGCCCCAGTATTTACCACACACAGACCAGAAATAAGTTTTTGGGGAGCAGTGAAAAGAGACCAAAAAAAGGATACAAAAATCAAAAGTATTCCCTTTCGCCCAAAGGCTTTGATTTGACAACTCTCTTCAAAGCTCAGCTGGCCTGCAGAGAGCACCATGGCTCCTTTATCACAAACAGTGTAAACAGAGTGTGGGATGCTGAGATCCCCATTGGAACATGCATCCAGGGAATGTTTTACAGGTCAGTTCTTGCTTAACATACAAACAGCCTCACGGATGCTCTGTCCTGGGCAGGAGCAGGAGGAGGGAGGCAGTGGAGCCCCTTGTCCTGTGATCCCTGCTGGCCCAGGGCAGGAGCTGGCTCAGGTGGGAATGCGGCTCCGCAGGTATTCCAGCACTGCAGCTGTGCCCTTGGCCAGGATTGCAGCCCGGGGGGTGCGGAAGGGGTTCCCTTCCAACAGCAGGGTCCTGGAAAACAGGGATCTGCACTTAGATAAAGATTTCTTGTACGCACACACTCCAATGCATACAGACTGCTGAATCTTTTGGAATCCCTAAGTAATCCCTCTTCTGTTCTACTAAAAGTTTTAATTCCTGCTTCCCTGCTTCACACCAGCTTGGCTTTAGATATGTGAATTTTAATTTATGCTAATAAATCAGTGGGGGTGTATGACTGCAGCACATACCCCACTACTGCAGCAAGCCTCTGCCAGCAGGAGTGAGAAAAGAACTTCTGGAATACAGAAACAGAATTCCAGGACGGTTCAGGCTGGAAGGGACCACAGTGGGTTCACCTGGTCCAATCTCCCTGCTAAGCCTGGCCTGTCCATGCTGCACCACAGTGTGACTGGACAGGCAACATAACCAAGGCTCTGCCAGGAGCTTCATACAAAACAACACACCCTTGACAGTGGTTTGAAATGATGAAACAACTCCTCCAATTCTCTACAATAGTGAGAAATTATGGAAGAAACTGCCTTGTTTTACAGATAGTCAGAGAGACCCTTTTGGGGCACTGAGACTCCACAAACAACATCCTGCCAAGGAGCACTTTTTCCTCTGACAAAACACTCCCTGAAGAACTCAGAATATAATTGTATAAACAGGTCCCCAGTGAAACCACACACCTCAGGTTTTCACAGTTCCCCAGTTCTGGGGGCACGTGGAGGAGGTCGTTGTTCTGCAGGTCCAGCGTTCCCAGCCTGTCCATCCCCTTCAGCTGCACCGGGTCGATGGACCCCACCTGGTTGTTGCTGAGCAGGATGGTCTCCAGGGCTGGGAGGTGATACAGGACACTGGGAAACACCTTAAATCTTCAGGAAAAGAAAGGAGGCAAAGCAGGGAAAGTCAGAAACAGGGCAACACAAACACAAGGCCTTCATGGGTTTCAAGCTCACAACTCGTCAGCCAAGTGTCTCCTTGTTTTTACATCACAGGAAAATCATATCAAATTCAGCCCAGTTCTTTTGATTATTATTTTATTAAAAAAATCTAGAGTGTTGCTCACCTGTTAAAAGCAAGATTGATTATCTGCAGTCTTGTCAGTGCCTCCATTTCCTGGGGTAAAGATGTCAAAATGTTGTTTCTGTGTATCAAAGGAAAACAAACAATAATCATTCACTTGCTCAAGGTTTTAGTTACTGAGAATCCCCAGGACACAACATATTGATCACATCCACACTATCTGTGGCCAATTCACTGCCTCAGAAATGGGGCAAGACCATGCCCAGGTACAGCTCCTGGCTAATGCCAGCCAGGCTGGATTCACATTTCTGCCAGGAGGAGACTCAAAGCCTGTCCTCTAAAGATTCCCAAGTATTCCCAGGCACCCAACAACTCCATAAACCTGCCTGGAAATTCAGCTCCTTGGGTTGCAGAGGAAAACTTAGGAAACTGCCCAGATCCTGAAGCCAAAGTAAATCAGTCAAAGTAAATCACTACATCTCTCCAAAATCTATGGTTTGAGCTAATTTAGATGCTGAACAATGCAAGGAGCATTTCTCAGGAGTCAGGGGAGGTAAGATGACATAAGTAACATCTCTTGCCATGCACTGCTTCTGTTTCCAGCAGTGTGACAAGATCTGAACCTTCACAGTCCTAATTCCCAGGATTTTTTGGTGTGTGTTTCTTTTGGAGGGCGATGGACGTGTTTTCAAATAGCACCATCTCTCTCCTCACAGCAAGTCTCAGAGCTGGTCCACTTGTTTTTTGGGTTTTCTTTAACCAAGGCCCAAATTTAGGCTATTTCAGCTCTACCATGGAGACATTTTGGGAATGAAAACTGATCCGAGTGCTGCAATCCCACTGGAACAGATGGCTGGTTTAGGGAGGCAGGAAAATAAGTTCCCAGGGAAGGAACTCAACACACGTCACCAACCTGAGATCCAAATGTGTCAATTTGTGGAGCCTGCACAGCTCCAGGGAAATGGAGGAGATTTTGTTGAAGCCAAGGTTGACATCACAAACAGAGTCTTTCAGCTCCACAATCCTGAAACCCCAAAAGGAGATACTGTAATTATGGAAGCTCATGCTTGCATTCTAAGTTATTTAAAAACTGCTTTCTTCTACAAATCAAGGACACATTTTGTTTCTTGACAATTCTGAAGTAATTTTGTGAAGATAATGAGACGTCACCTGTGAGAGCTGCTGCTCCTCAAACCTTACACTTGATGAAGGCAAAGCTCACTGACCTACAGTGATTAGGAGATGTTTTCTCTCTCTGATTAGGAGAGTAAATTTTACTACAAAAGCCTCCTCAGTAAATGCAGTCAAGAGCTACTTCAGAGACCAGAGGACAGGTGACCTTCACTGCCATCTCCTGACCTGGAGATGTTTTAACACTGATTCTGCAGCCAAACAAACTGAAAGAAATTCCTATTTTTTCCCATTTTTTGTTTCTGCTCCATTGTTACAAATTCCAGGAGCATTTGCTGCTGCTTGTAGAAGGCCGTTACATTGAGATGCTTTGGTGTAAATTATTTAACAGCTCGAGAAGTTCATTGTAGAACCCCCCAAATAGAATCTCTGGTTTAGCCCTAAAACCAAAACGCAATTAAAGGAGAAAACACTTCTCTCTCCTGCCTGGATTGGCATGGAATTCTGAGGCAGCTGCATACCCACTCACACCTATCCCAGGGAATGCAACAGCCTCTGATACAGTGACAAAGCACAGGAAGAACAAACACCAGCTCACAAAATCCAGTCTCTAGAGCTTGTACTGAAAATGGACTTTTTTCTCCCCTGAGATTGCACCTCTTCAAGCTCTGTGTGCTAAAGGTGAAACATTAAGCACACTTGGGTCTGAGAATGGGCACAGATCAACTCCACAATGTGGCGGTGTCCTTAAAAATCAGTGTTGGTGGTTTTCTTGGGCTCCCAGAGATCCAGCAAACCTTCCTCCTAACACAAAACATTCCTCCTAATGCAAAAAGACTAATTATTGCCATCAGTGCCAGAGATTTTCCATGACTCTGGATGACACAAGTGACTCCAGGCCCCACCTGCACACTTCTGTACAAGACACACAAATGTGTCACTGTATTTCTTTGTACTTTGATTTGTGTG